CACCACCTGTTAAGCCTGACAGTCCACACAATTTCCTGTGTACTGTCTGTCATACTCATACAGTCTAATGGTCCAGTTTGGCTAAAATGATACCTGAAGACTATGAAGACTATGCTGTCCCCTCATCCATGCAGCCAGACATCTCTTTGTAGAAGGCAGTCAGACTGGGTCAGGCACTGTTCGCCCTTGGTAAATCCCTGTTGTCTGATCCCAGTTGTCTTTCTGTTGCTCTTGTGCCTGGAAATGGCTTCCAGGAAGATTTGCTCCACAATTTGCCTTCAGGCTGAGGTAGGGCTGACTTGCTGTTGTTTCCTTTGCTCTTTTTAAAGTTGGCCGTAACATTTTAGTTATAAAAAAGCAATTACAACCCAAAGTAGTTGCAGGAACAACTACTTCGTACAAGGAGTACCACCAGCTTGCTCTCTTGCTGTTGTTACTACTGACTGGCTATTTTAGAACAGAGGTCATTTATTGCCTTGTAAAATCCTGTGCAAAGGTGTGATGCCAAATCTGTTCATAACTATGAGGTTTGGGAACAACAGTGTGCAATGAATGCCTGCCTGGGCAGTAAAGAGTATCGGGAGAATTTTCTTCAGGCAAGCAAATGGTTTCAAGTATGATGCTAATACACTGTCATTACTTCTGTTTCTCGTTGTAGTTTTATGTGGTCTTTTGAGAAGATTCACAGGAGCATTGCACACATCTTCCAGGGGGAGCTGGTGGCCAGCTTTGATGAAGAATTCCGAATTCTCTTTGCACAGTCAGAACCTCTTATTCCTCCAGCCAATGTCTTGGCAAAGGCAGACAACACATTTGCCATGACTCCCTTTGGCAATAACATGCCTTTCTTTCCAAGAAAAGCACCCCTGATGTTCCAAAGGGATGACAGTCTTTTTCCCTCCTTTATGGATAGAGTTGATCCAGACAGGTACTTCCTGTCAAATTTCAGGCGGGATGACATGTTGCGCCATACTGTGGAAGGGTCAGCTATGCGAATGTATAAAAAGGTAGAAATGGAGAATTCCCAGATGGATCCTGTCAGGGGTTTTCTCCGTTCCAAGCAACTGGAGTTGGATGCTTTTAAGAGACACAGTTTTGCAGAAGGAACATTTGAAAACTTTGCTTCTTCTAAGCAGTATGCCAGGCAGATGTTCTTGAACAACATGGATGAATTCAAAATCCAGTCTAGCCATTTTCAGAAGGACCAGTTCTACCAGTACCAATTTGAACATCCCCATCTTCCTGGCAGGCCTCAGGGACTCTTTGAGAGAATCCGAGGTGGTAGACAATTCAATGAGCTGGAAGACTATGGAGAGGGATCCAGATACCCTGAACTTGAATCCAATTTTCCACAAGAGGGTTTCCCCTTAAGACTGGATTATGTACCTTCAAATTCTTCCAGGGAAGTGAGACATGGCTCTGATCAGCTGAATCCCGCAGGGAACGGCCCAATGGGAATGGTGTTAAGAAGGCAGAATATAGGACAGAAATTTATTTGCCAGACTTCTCCTACACAGAAGCAAAGCCTGGAACAACGCCTGTTCTTACAAGACAAAGAGGAGGACCAAGATGAGGACAAGAACACACAGGAAAACAGAACAGGTTTACGTAACTGGAGGATTTCCTCATACCTGAGTGCATACCAGTCCGAACCAGAAGAAGGTCTTCCAATGCCTATGGAATCAGAAGCATATAATGATGTGCTTGGGGATACCCTCCCAAAGCACCCCACTGACCTCATCCCAGCATTCAAATCCCCTATGTCTTTTAACAAGTCACTGGGAATTGAAAGTGCCAAAGAATTTTCAGATCCTGATAGAGTATGTGAAGAAACCCCTATAATGAAACAAGATGCATTCAGGTCCAGAATAAATCCTTTGATCCAGAGGAGCTCAAGACTCAGGTCCTCTCTGATTTTCAGTGCTGCCAAGTTAGATCAGCCAAACACTGCAATAGAAAAGGTTCAGATGATCCAGAAAGAACAAATGTCCAGTGAGTTGACGAAAGACAATGAAACTATAAAGACAGCCACCTCATCTAAAGTGGCAGAACTTTTAGAGAAGTACAAAGCTGTGGGCAAAGACACAGAGCGAGCTACAGTCACTCATACCAAAGCTGTTTCCAGTTATCTACAGGAAGAATCACAGAATGCAGAGAAGAAATGCACCAAATCCGTGCAATATAAGATTCTAGAGAGTAGGGTACTAGAATCCAAAGACTCCTGCAGTACTTACAAAATGCATGGAGAAGCTGAAAGACCATTTGCAGTGGCCTCATCGTCCCCCCAGCTTATTGACACATTGAGTAAAGATCCCTTAGCACATATTGGAACTAAGGTGGACAAATTATCATCTCGGTTTTACCCCATAGAGAGTAAACCTGCTCTTCCAGAGAAGGAGAGTCTTATATTTGTAGGAGACACTCAAAAGTTGACTCTTCCAGAGAAGAAGGAAAGAGTGACATTCAAAGAAGACACTCAGAAATCAGTCAATACAGAACTGAAGAAACCACAGATTAGGACAAGTACCACATCAGTTCTTGAAAACTTATCTAGAAGTCAAGGATCTGACAGCTCTCTCAATAAATCTGAGGAAGACTGTTCAAAACAAGAACAAAATCCAATGGAATTTTTAAGAAAAGGGTCACTAAGGCTGAAGCAGTTTTTGAATCCAAAAGGTGAAAAGAAATTGGAGGAGGAGCCCACTTTGGAGATTGGAAAGTCTGATAAGCAAGCTGTGGTTCTCAAGCGATCTTCCATAGGGGACTGTCAGGAAATGATGGAGGAAGAAAAAACCCATAAATTTGCAACACCACTTCCTCCCAAAAGCAGCCAGCCCACACAGGGGAGATTTCCTTCATCCACAGCTAACATCCTCTATAGCAGCAACCTCCGTGATGATACCAAGGTGATTTTGGAACAAATCTCTGCAAACAGTCAGAAGAACAGAGCTGAACTGGCCAAGCAACTACCATCCACTAGTAATCCTGATCTTTCAAAGTCAACTACAAGCTTGGAAAGGAAAGGTGAGAAAGAGAAAAGCTGTAATATCCACAGGTCAGAGAGTTTTGGGAGCCAGAAACGAAATCTTCAGCGGCAACCATCAGAGGATAGAGATACCCTCCTGAAGAAAATGGAGAATATGCGGAAGGAGAAGCGAGTCTACAGTAGATTTGAGGTCTTCTGCAAAAAGGATGAACACACAAGTCAGAGTGAAGAGGAATATGACACAGATGCCAAAGACAAGAAGATGGGAAAATTCATGCCCAAAATCCTGGGGACCTTCAAGACTAAAAAATGATCATAGAAATACTATTTAATTCCATATAATCACTGACTGTCAAAGGGGAATGAGGAAGTAACTTGTTTATGATGGCTCTAAGCACCATAGGCAATACTCTTCATGGTTAGTGAGTGGAAATGTGTTCACCATTAGACTCCTGTGGCACAACTTGCCCATTGAGTCATGTGGTATCCACCATCCTTACCGCATTATGTTTCAAATAAAGTTATTAAATTGCCAAGATGCTTAAAACAAAGAAATAAAGTCAGAGTCTCTTTATATTATGCTCAGGGAATATTTTCAGCAAACAAAACAATTCCACTTTCAGAAGGAAAGAATAAAAAGTAGAAAATTCAAGACTTAAATTCAAGACTTAAGTTCAGTCCAGGAAAGGTACACACAAACACACGCACATGAACTGGAAATTTTGTTTAAAATTTAAAAAACAACTGTTTCTCAGGTACAGTTATCTCTTCTTTATATCTAATAATGAATCAAATGAGATAGGCACCTTTTTGAAGGTTTACAGGAGAAAAAAAATATTGTTAACAACTTTACCCCTATCTGTGGTCATGGTCCTGTCCAGCAAAACACGCTCAGCTCTTCTTTTTACCATTTCCTAAACCTGTTGGTTCTGGTTCTGTTGGTTTATTCCCTTATGTAGAATGGCTGTATTGCCCTAGGGGTGAGCTGAAAGTAGCAGCTGAAATGCCGTAAGAAAGGACATGGACATGCTATTAATGGAGAAAGACCTGGGTTCAGGACTCCTTTCAGCTGAGACCAGAGTTTAATGAAGCATCTAAAATGCCATCTTGGCCAAGTAGTAACTTTGCTGACAGTGTAACTCCAGTAAGTGATTGCAGGGAGGAGGGAGGCTCATTTGTTAGCACACTTGTCCATGTGAATACAGGGGAAGAAGAGACTCAGAACAATGGAAGGAATAAGGCAACTGGAATTTTCAAGCTCAGGCATGTTTTCTCTCATGTAGTTTGGTACCAAGCTTAACCATGCAGCTTAACCAGTCCAGATTAGCCTGTAGGTTCATGCTGTTGACTTACAGTGTCTTTGGATGGCAGAAGGTAGACACAGAGGCTATCATGAATACACTGTACATAACATTTAGTTCCTTAGCTTTTTTCTCCTCAGCTTGGCCTCTCTCAGCTTGGCATCCAGCAGGATTGCCAAACTGTTTGGTGGTTTTTTTGGTTTGTTCTTTCCCTCCTACCCCCCCCCCCCCCCCCTTGATCTTTGTACCATAGTCCAAAGAGATGTTCTCACATGGATTTCCCATTCCTGTTAGCCTGGGGCTCCTGAGTAGTCACTTTGTGACGCTAGCTGCAAGCTCAGCAAACCAGTTCAGATATGTGGCTGACAGATGAAGACAAGAGGCTACATCAATTCCTGAAGGTAACTTTAGTAGAGGGTTTCTAAAACTTCAGTTCCTTTTTGAGGATGCCAGCTCCCATGGTAGCAGGCTTTACACAGTTCAGCAGGCTTTATATAATTTACATATCTGTAACAATTACTGGAAACAAAGCTGAACTGTATTTTTTATGCTTATTCCATATTGTACAAGTGTATACTATTTCAGATACCACCCATAATCTGTTACATACCTATAAATTCATAAAGGAATGCTGTAATGCTGTGTGTATACTTATTTTGTCTGCTCTTAGTAATGAATCAGATCCGGTTATTTTACTCTAGAGAGGAAGATAGGCTATAGAGATACATATCCTATTATATATGTGCTGTCTGGTCTGTGCAAGTCTTACATCATTCCACACCTCCCCAGCCTTTCCTAAACCCACCAGCTCCAGTACCATTCTGTAACAAAGTTAGATATTTAATGATTGCTGTAGTCACAGATTACATTAATATTTTAGAATTTTGCTGTATTTTTTAGTTTTAGAATTTGTTTTACTCAGCATGGTCTGTTCAGTGTAAGCTCAGGTTCCTGACCAGAACTAGAATGACACATCTCTTTTAGTGCTAAGTTGATTACCAAATGTTGTAGGTGCATACAAATATTGCAGAGTAATTAATTCACTTTGTAATAACAAAAGCCATTTTAAGAATAAAAGGTTAATGTTACAGCCCATCACCTCTGAGATCAGGTTCACAGAGGATCTTTGTTATCTCATTTTATCATCAAACTGCTGGGTGCTGTCTTTCAGTAGAAGTCAACCCTGAATTAAGCGGTAGGCTTCCTTTTCCATGCATGAGAACAGGCATCTTGGATTCACAAGAGCTGTCATGCTTCACAGAACACTACACAATACGTTCACCCTGTCATTGCCGTTTTCTGTATCTACCTGTACCTGGGATAGATAGGAAATGCCTATTTTATGAATATACCAGAATAAACCAGGACTTACCTGAGAGCTGCATTCCCAGCCTAGTATTACCAGACTTGAGTGACCACACCTGGCATCAGAAGTGAATATTTTGATTTTTTACTTAGCTAGCCTTTTGTTCAGATTACTAAATCTATATAACTAACTATATAATCTATATAAACTAAAAATAGTGTTTACATACTACAAGATAAAATGGATATTCCATCAATGGCAGTGATACTCACATGTTAAAATACAGTTCCTTAATCCCCTCTGTAACTGTAGTCCCAGCATTCTGGAATAAGAATCATTTAGCATAGATCAAGTAACATTTCAGGGACAAAGACTTCTTATAATAACTTTAAGTTAATGAGAAAAATGTATCAAAAATCAGCATTAAAGCACGAATCTAGTTTTAAAATTTACTGTTGTCCCCCTTTTGCCTGGTAACAACTTCATGATGTTTCAGCAACAGTATCTCTTGAAACATTGCTTTCTGAAAGCACAAAACAAATAAATTACTGTATTATTCATTGAACAAGATACTTCTGGATTTTTTCTTTCACACACAGCAAAAATTGATTGAAAGACAAAGATTTTCTGTAATGCAATGTAAAGTATTTATTATTACAATATTTGCAGTATCACAGTATTACATGGTAGGTAAGCTATTAAATGTTGTAGCAGAACCCGTCTGCATTTAAAATGCTTTTCTACATTATGTTAGTGAAAATAAGCCACCACTGATTATGTTCATTTACCCCAGAAGAGTCATAGAAAATAGCGGATATCAAACCGAAGGGCTCAGTTAGGGGACCGATGAGATGAGCTGACTTCACCTGGTTAGAACATTTCCATATTCACTGCTTAAGTTGCTGGGAGGACTTCGATATTGGAAGACTCTGCAGCGCAGATTTACATATGGTTCCATAGGCCTGAGAGTAACTGCCCATCGATGCTTTTGGGTCACCAGCAGCTCCCATATTTGCAGTAATCTGGAACATCTTTTTACTGGACTTCAGAGGGGGACGAACATCTTTGCTGTGAAACTGAGTATTTCTTGGATTCTGTGCAATAAAGAAAAGCCAAGATAATAACCTGTAATAGCTTTCTAAAATACAAAAAGGGAACACAAATTTTACTTCAGCTTGGAGTAGGACAGATCATGAATATTGTATGAACAAGCATCACTGTTTTGCAAGATCAAGAACAGGATGGTGAGAAGGATGTGAGGGAGAAGGGCTTAAGAATGGGTGTATCATGAACTACTGCCACTGGAGCAGTATTCTTCTGTGGGCATGTGAGAAAGTCCCATGACAAAAAAGTCACTCCTTAGTGTGACAGAAAGGGTAATGTGTGGTGTCTCCTTTCATATTCTTCCTCTGCCATAAGCTTCCTCTGATCACCTTGTGTTGCCTGGACTCCTTGAGCCAGGCAGCAGACAACTGGCTCAGGAAAAAGAAAAAGCAGGGGCAAGGAGGTCATGTAAGAACTCAATGAGCTTAAGAACTTTCACAAGGAAGTGTGACCACAAACAGGGGAAAAGGAGGAGCAGAGAGGACAGGACTGAAACTGTCACTGTTCAGCAGCAGCAATCCATTAAGTTGATTCCAGAGGTAGTGTGAATTCTCCAGCTAAGTTTAGAATATATCACAGTCTCAATTCAGTTAAAAAAGAATTTGCTACCTGCATGCTTTGCACAGGACAAGCCATTGCTGAAGATAATGTAAAAGCAACTGATCTGTGATTCTCAGTCAAAGGGAATTTTTAGTGCTGCTCACTGTCTGAACAATGTGATAACCACTTGTCTGAAGTGGTAACACTGAAACCAGAATGCAGTCTGAAATTAGCCTGTCCTCTAGAAAAAAGGCAGTGGAAAAGTCATGTATCTCAGCACACCTCTAAAGATGTTGCACTAGAAACTCAAGATGGGAAAAGGAAGCAGAGGCAGAGGATCTGCAGAGATATTTTTACTTTGCTTACTGTTGGGTGACAGATATAATCCATTACAGTTAATATTTGTGGAAAAAAAATAAATACTGCTAATGAGGCAGAGACTGATTTTCGAAAGGGCCGTTCCTCCATGTTCTCTGAAGTACCTAATTCCCATACTGAAATTCAACAGTAATTCACAGAATTCCTGCATGAACCTTCTCTTGCTGCTTAAGTCACAGGTGATAAGGTTGTTTTGAAAGACTGGGGTTAGACTTCAAAATCCAGGATAAAGTATTCATAAACCCAGACCAGCTGAAGATCAGCATTACACATTCTGCAGAAGTAAGGCCACATCTGTGCCCTTGCAATTTCCTGGTGATTCTGATAGATGGTCTTCCTCATCTTCCTCTCAACATTCTGCCTTATGCACAGAACTTAACTCTGGGTTGTAAAGTTCATTAGCAGACAAAACACCTGAATGTAGGTATTGCAATACGCAAGATCCTATGCCCAAGCTCTGCCTGGTGACAGACAAGGAGCCAGCTGAGAGCTTATGGGTCAGGATTAAGGAGAGGGTAGGGACAGGTGACATTATAGTGAGAGTCTGCTCTCATAACATAAAACTTAAGGGCAGCCTTGAAATAGTGGAGTACAAGATACTTAGAGCATTGAGGAGGGCACACAGCAAGCTTCCAGCCCTGGACGTCAGGAGAGGAGACTTCAACCTCTTCAGGGATCTGCTTGGTAGAGTACCATGGGTTAAAGCTCTGGAGGGAAGATGGGCCTAAGAAAGCTGGTTAACATTCAAGGAACACCTCCAAGCTCAGGAGCAACACATCCCAAGTCAGGCAAAAATGCCAGGAGGTCTGTGTGAATGAACAAAGAGCTCCTGGCCAAACTCCTGCACAAAAAGGAAGCCTGCAGAGGGTAAAAACAAGGACAGGCAGCCTGGGAGGAATACAGACAAATTGTTCGAGCAGCCATGGATCAGATTAGAAAAGCTACAGTGCTGATAAAATTAAATCTGGACGAGGCCATCGAGGGCAACAAGAAAAGATTCTATAGGTACCCTGGTGATAAAAGGAAGACTAGGGAACACATGACCTTCTCTGGAAGGAAACAGGAGACCTGGTTACCAGAAATATGGAGAAGGCCTTTTCTTTTTACCTCAGTCTTCACTGGCAAGTGCTCCAGCCACACTGACAAGTGGCAGAAGGCAAAGGCAGGGGCTGGGAGAATGAAAAACCACCCACTGTAGGAGAAGAGCACATTCGAGACAACCTAAGGAAGCTGAAGGTGCACAAGTCCATGGGACCAGATGAGGTGCATCTAAGGGTCCTAAGGGAGCAGGTAGATGAAGTGGCAAAGCCACTTCACATTGTATTTGAGAACTTGTGGCACTGTGAAGTTCCCAGTGACAGAAAAGGGAAATATAACCCCCAGTTTTAAAAAGGGAAAAAAGAAAGACCTGGGGAACTACAAGCTGGTCAGTCCCTTCCAATCCAAACTATTCTATGAGTCTGTGATTCTGTATTTATCTAATCCATATTAGAGGCAAGTTATGTCCAGTTATTTCCCCTACTAGCATAAACTCTTCAGTTGGAATCATCAAATTACAGACTTGTTCAGGTTGGAAAAGACCTTTAAGATTGTCAAGTCCAACCACTAACCTTATACTGTCAAGGCCACCACTAAACCATGTCCCTAAGTGCCACACATCTACACATTTTTTTAAATATATCCAGGGACAGTGACTCCACCACTGCACTGAGCAGCCTGTTCCAGTGCTTGATAATCCTTTTGGTAAATTAATTGTTCCTAATCTCCAGCCTAAAACTCCTCTGGCGCAGCTTAAGGCCATTTCTTCGTATCCTGTCACTTGTTACTTGGAAGAAGAGACTGACATTCACCCTGCTACAACCTTTCAGGGCGGTGTTGGGAATAATGTCTCCCTGAACCTAGCTTTTTCCAGAATAAACCCCCTACCAGGTCCCTCAGCCATTCCCCATCACACCTGTGCACCAGGCCCTTCACCAGCTCCATTTTCCTTCTTTTGACCTGCTCCAGCACCTCAATGTCTTTCATAGTGAGAGGCCTAAAACTGAGCATACGGTTCAAGGTGCAGCCTTACCAGTGCCCAGTACAGGGGGACAGTCACTGCCCTGGTGCTGCTGCAACACTGGTGCTGATACATCAGTGTATCATGTGTGTGGATGCCATTGGCTTCTCAGCTGCCTGGGCACAAGCTGCTCATGTTCGGCTCTGTCGATCAGTACCCCCAGGTCCCTTTCCATGAGCAGCTTTGCAGCCACTCTTACCCAAGCCTGGAGCATTGCATGGAGTTCTTGTGGCCCAAGTATAGGACCAGGCACTGAGCCTTGTTGAACCTCATCCCACTGGCTTCTGTTCCTGGATCCAGCCAGTCCTGATCCCTCTGAAGAGCCTCCTGCCCTCCAGCACATCAACGCTCCCACCCAGATTGGTGGTGTCTGCAGACTTACTGAGGGTGACCCTGATCCTCTCATCCAGATCACTGATAAAGAGATTCAACAGAACTGGCCCCAGTCCTGAGGCAGGGGGAACAGTGCTTGTGGCTGGTGCCAACTGGATTGAACTCCATTCACCACCACTCTCTGGGCTTGGCCATCCAGACAGTTCTTTACCCAGTGAACAGTGAATGAGTTTACCCTTTCAAGCCATGAGCATCCATTTCCTCCTGGAGAAGGCTGTGGGAAAAGGTGTCAAAGGCTTTACTAAAGTCTGGATAGAAAACGTGCACAGTTTTTGCCTCATCCACCAAGTGCGTCACCTTGTCACAGAACATCAGGTTGGTCAAGCAGGATCTGCCCATGCTGAGTTAACCCAAGAGTTAGCACACTCTTAGCTTTCTATTTAAGGGAACATACTCTATACAAGCCCAGCTGCTTTCTCAAACTAGGTTATAGGTACCATTTGACTGACATACATAGAAGCGACAACATTGTAATGCATGTTTTTGACTGATAAAAATGTATTAATTTAGTTACAGAGCAGGCTCTATTTAAGTATCTTTACAAAGTTGCAAATTAAGATATTTTGTGTCTGTATAGTTTTGGGCCGTAAAAAGATAAGGTTGTTTTTTGGGTTTTTTTTTGGTAGGACTGCTACTTACATTGTAAAGATTCTGTACACTTGTAGGAGGTAGCCCAGCATTTGTTTTTGCCCATGTGATTTGTCTCTCCAGTTTCCTATTGTTGAAAGTTCTGGCCTGTTGAGAAAGTGATGCTGAAGAGTTCCTGAGAAGAGCACCAGAATTTGTATTACCTGCAGCAGGAAAAAAAAAAAAGAGGAAGCAGAAAAATTATAAGGACACAGAACACAGTGACTGAGGCAGAGACAGAACATAGAAACTGAGTCAGCCCCTGCCACATGACTTCATCTCACTAAATGTTCAGAATAAAATTAGGCTATAGTGGGAAAGAAATCCAGTTCAAAAGGGCATGGGAAAAGATAGCAGTAGAAAAGCAAAGAGAAGACAGAAAGGAACAGAGTCAAAACTGAGTCAGGAAAGAGCCAAAGAGAATGTCACACGCTAAAAACTCCTTCAACTGTGTTTTGATCTTACGTCATTTTCTTAGCAGGCTTTCACCCTCTCATTTTGCCATGTAAATTCCCCTTACTTCTCTTCCCCACTCAATGTCTTCTTTTTTCCCCATAATAATACCTCATGATGGATTACATCCCACTGTAGGAGGGTAGTACCTACTTTGAACAGCAGTGTGTGTTATAGGATTGTATATCACATGGATCTTTGATCTCTGACATAAAGATCTTGTTAAATCTTCATTCTGGCTGGATACTTCTGTCTGGATACCACATGTAGTTTCAGCATGCACATGTGGAGCTTTTAGAAGAGGTGGTATTGGTTCTATCTGGCCTTTCTTGGTAGATAAAATCACAGAAGTGGAGTTTGGAAGCGGCCTAGATTCAGACTGACTGTTTTGTATGTTTTCTCTCCACATTTGCTCCTTTGGATGGCTGTCTGATTTCTTTTCAAGAATCATCTATAGAAAGGAGAAGTTGATTAGACTTAACACAGTTACATAGCAGAGGAACAAAACATAAACCCAAACTGAAATTTCTTTCACAGCATAGGTAGTAAGTATAATTTTAAAATTAACTTAGGTTGGAAAGAAGATAGAAATAAAATTCTCCGTGGAAAGAAAGAGGCTGAAGCATTAAGAAAAAGTGTTGGGTGAACAGACAATTTCAATATATCCTGAGAGATAATAATAATACTACTAAATAAAATGAGCATTAGCCTTGAAAAAGACAATCTACATGTTCAGAAGATTAACACTATGCTGTTCCTTATCATCCCTTTCTAGAACTTTGCAGAGCTGATTTTTTAATGGTCAAATCAATATTCACTGCAATTTGTCCATAATTATTTCTCACCTACCTCTAGACAATATTATCTAGCAAAAGAATCCTTGACAAGGTTTATGTCTTGGTATAGACAGTTTGTTCTCAACTTCCTGTAATAATTCATCCCAAATATGACACCCTATCAGTAAGATTATTCAAAACTATTCACTTGTTTCTTAGCCTTCTACCTACATTGTGTGTGACCAATTTATTTACATTTAGAATACCTTTTCTACCTGTGCTTCATATTCACTTTACTAATTCATCTTCTCCTGATTCCTAATGCTCTATCACAATAGAATTTATTCACTTTCTTCTACTGAACACCTTAAATGAAATTAAGAAAATAACAGCATTCATTAAGCATTCGCAATTACCTTGGATTCTGGAAAAATAAAGTAAGCAAAAGTACCTCATATAATTTATTCCGGTACTCTGCCACAGACAGCTGGATATCATCACCTAAAGGAAGAACCACATCATGACCCAGAGAGGGCTCCATGGCAGGACAGTGAAACCTAAGAAGATGATAACACATAATGTAATTCACTAAGAGCAAAACCAGGACCACAGATCAATAACGTTAAAAAGGATTGTTAAATCATCCAGGGTGACCTCTAGTATAACGAGGGTTAGAGAAAATGAACAGTTAGCTTTGGGTGCGGTTTTTATTTTTCTACCAGGCATATAAAGAAAACTTGTGCCAAGTGTAGGTCTGTAACATCTCAAAAGACATCAGGGAAACTGCGCTTTGGTATTACTCTCACCTTTTCACATAAGGATGCTGCAAAGCCTCCTCTGCTGTGAGTCGTTTGTCAGGGTTAAATACTAAAAGTTTCTTCAGAAGATCCAAGGCAGGCAATGGAGTAGAGGATGGTAAAATCTCCTCAAATGTTACTCGCTGCCTAGAAGTTGGAAAACAACGATATAAGCTTCCAGTGTCTAATTCACAGTGAAGGCATGAATTAACAGTTCTGGGAATTACATCAAGGGACACCTGACTCCAGAATTCACTCACAAATAGTGCCGTAACCCTGGAACACTCTGAAGTAGAGGCCTGGGAGTACAGTGAAGTTTTTACCCCTTTGATTAGGTTTGAATGCCTCCCTCCTAGCACTAGGAACCTATGTGAAGCACCTAACTTGCAAATCTAGTCTTTGTTTTGTTTCAGTGGAGTGATAGATACCAGACAGTGTCAGAGACAAGGAAATAACGAGTTCTCTGGCCAATGAGTCCTTCTGTTGTTTTGAAAATGCAGGAAGCCCAAATTCCTAACTTGATGTTTCAGCTCAACCATTAAAGATCCCATGAATCCAGCCCTTAGACCACAGAAATGTATTTCTGTAGAATTTGCAATGAGAATATGAACTTTAAAAGTCTGGTTTTGCATTTAGAAATCTTAAATATAATTATTAACATCATGAACGTGAGTACATCTAACACATTTGAAAAAGCAGTTTTACAACACAATTCTTGCTTATATTTTAAATAACATTGTTACACCATGACAACATTCTTTTTGTTTAGAAAAACGATCCATCACTGAACATAGCATTTGGACTGAGTGGCTCAGAAAAAAAATCTTTTTTGTTTTGAAGAATTAACATTTCACGTGCCTTTTACCTATCTGGAACCATCTATCAGAACTCACCCATGCAATTTTAATTTTTTTTTGGGGGGAAGTTAACATCCAAAGAGAAGGGCTGTCAAATACAAGTGCATTTCAGGCAGGAGTTAATGAAGAGCTCCAGTTGCTGTCTTTCACTACTCAGAAAAGGGTTATAGTAATGAGAGAGCTCTTCTCAGAGGTGCTGTGGGGGTTGACCCTCACTAGCAGCTAAGCTGCTTGCTCACTTTCCCTTCTCTGCCTTTTGACATGCAGCAGCCCTACAACAGAAGGATTTGCCAACAGGCTGGACAAGCAAGAATCACAGAATCAGAGTGCTTAGGGTTGGAAGGGACCTCAAAAACAGAAGTCAACATGAAAACCCACATGCTGCTCATGTGAACAAGACCTGCTAGAGTTTATGGTTTGAGCCATCCTAACCTAGACCTATGAAAACATAGCATTCAGAGGACTCACACCACACATAGCTGGGCTATGCATGTTGTAGACTTCTCAATGAGAAGGGATGCCCACCAGGATACTCATGACACATATGAGCAGGGCACACTTAGACACCAGTGAGTAACTTGCTATGGCTAGAGCATCAAGTTTACTAATGTTTACTAGTGAGGTATGTAATAAATACAGAATGTTGTGTTTGTCTGGGTACATAACTGTATGCTCCAAAAGAACCATGACAGATATCAGGAAAAGAAAATTAATCAAAATGCCTCAGGATAAGAACATACTCCAATTTTCATAAAGTTCACATGACAGTAGCTTGGAATGTCAGCCCATGGGCCCAACCTCATTTTTGTTTGTTATTCCCAGATTATGTCATTGGTCTTTTTTTTTTTTTCAATCTGCAGAGAGCAGAAACCACTTCTACTGGGGAACAGTGGCAGCTGAACTGCAGAACTGCAGTAGAATTTTCTGTCAACATCATACAGCAGATTGCTGACTTCTGAGACACAGTGAACACACAAGGCTTACCGGGAACTGATGCGGTTAATAACTGAGGCTCTGTAATCTGGCTGCACAGCCAAAATGTCTGAAACAGTGAAAAGAATAACTGTTAGTGCCATGAATGTGCACAACTCTATGGGACCTGATGAAATCCATCCACGAGTCCTGAAGGAGCTGGCGAATGAAGTTGCTAAGCCACTGTCCATCATATTTGAAAAATCATGGCAGGCAGGTGAAATTTCCAACGACTGGAAAAAGGGAAATATATCCCACATTTTCAAGGGAAATATGGGAAGACTACAGACCAGTCAGTTTCACCTCTGTGCCTGGTAGGATCATGGAGCAGACTCTCCTGGAAAGCATGCTAAGGCATATGAAAAAACAATGAGGTGGCTGGTAACAGTCAACATGGCTTTGCTAAGGGCAAATCCTGCCTGATCAATTTGGTGGCCTTTTATGATGGGGCTAGAGAACTGATGGACAGGGGCAGAGAAGCTGACCTTGTCTACCTTACTTGTGCAAAATATTTGACACTGTCCTGCATTACATCCTTGTCTCTGAACTGGAGAGACATGAATTTGATGGATTGATCATCTGGTGGATAAAGAATTGGCTGGTGGTCGCACGCAGAGAGTTGTGCTCAATAGCTCAATATCCAACTGGAGAGAGGTAACAAGTGGTGTCCCTCAAGGGTCGGTGTTGGGACTGATCCTGTTCAACATTTTTGTCAGCAACATAGACAGTGGGATTGAAACGCTCTCGTTAAGTCTGCCAATGACACCAAGATGTGTGGTTCAGTTGATACACTGAAGAGATGCCATCCAGAAGGACCTTGACACACTTGAGAGGAGGCCAATGCCAACCTCATGAAGTTCAACAAAGCAAAGTGCAGGGTCTTACACCTGGGTCAGGGCAATCCCAGGCACAACTACAGGTTGGGTGAAGTGATTCAGAGCAGCCCTGCAGAGAAGTACTTGGGGTGTTGGTGAACAGAAAACTGAACATGAGCTGGATTCAGTGTGCGCTCACAGCCCAGAAACCAGCCGTGCCCTGGGCTGCATCAAAAGCAGTGTGAAGGGGGTGATCTTGCCTGTCTACTCTGCTCCTGAGACCCCACTTGGAGTACTGTGGGCAGTTCTGATGTTGCCAACTTGCTGTTAGAACAAGTCCAGAGGAGGCCACAGAGATGATAAGTGGCTGGATATCAAGACAGGATGAGTACATTGGGGCTGTTCAGGCTGGAGAAGCTGCATGGAGACTTCAAAGCAGCTTCCAGTATCTGAAGTAGGCTACAAGGATACTGGAGAGGGACTCTTAATTAGGGACTGTAGTGATAGGACAAGGGGTAATGGGTTCAAACTGAAATGGGGAAAGTTCAAACTAGATGTAAGGAAGAAGTTTTTCCCTGTGAGGGTGGTAAAGTGCTGGCTCAGGGTGCCCAGAGAAGCAGTGGCTGCCCCATCCCTGGCAGTGTTTGAGGCCAGGTTGGCCAGGGCTTGGAGCAGTCAGCTCTAGTGGAAGGTGTTCCTGCCCATGGCAGGGGGTTGGAGCTGGATGAGCTCTAAGGTCCCTTCCAAACCAAAGTGTTCTATAATTTTATGCTAAGGACTACCAGAGGTACACATTTTATGAAGGAAAACAAATATTTGATATTAATGTAGGAAATTATCCTAATAAAACTTGAATGGAGATCTTATGAAAGGCGGATGGAATATTTACTTACAAATTCTTTAAGCTGATTTTCTCAGTTCCTATTCATTCTACAATAGATTTCATAAACTTGCATTCTTATACCCACATATGCAGAACCACGAAGATACCTGAGGCCAAATGATCTCTCCAAGACCACTTGTGTGGGACACAAACAACAACAGAAACCAGCTATTGATTTTGTCATCACATCGCTGGGGTTCTTTTTGACTGGTTATGATGAACTGTTTGCTGAACACATCTGTCATACTCTTGAAGAATCAACAGTTACTATGGAATGCTTTCTGCCTCAGAATCTTGCTTCTTCAGTCCCCATAAACTCTAGGCAAAGTTGTTGCTAGTAGACTGGGTTTCCTTGTTTGCAATAATGTTTTGAACAACTGTCTCTTTTCACTTTTTTGGCTGAAAGAAAAAATTGTGCCTGTGACATGCTGCAACCTTGCAGCCATTGTCCTGTAGTAAAGACACAGGACCTTCTGCTAAAGAGTCACTGTGCTCTGGTCTTGTCTTAGAGTGCAGACCTTCTGGTTATGACATTATCAACACATTCCTCAATTATATCGCTGAGAATAGAATAGCATTTTTTGTTTAATTACTGGCTATTCTTCTAACTCCTGTTTTGGTGTTTTCACACACATTTCCATTCATATTTCATCCCCAGCAACCAAATCTCTTAATAAAAACCATAAATAACTCTAAGCTTGAATGGAATTCTCCAACGTCATGTCCTTAAACTGAAGGTAGTTATTTTTCTAAAAAAACCCCAATTCGCTAGCTCAGTTAGAACGTATCAACATGTTGCAAAAGTTCATAAACTGTATGGGCTGTTAGAATGGAACTCATAGAAGACATAATAATAATCCCTTTTAGATTTAACATATACTTCTTCCAGCCTTCACTTTGGTGTTTAGATTTCCAGACCAAAAAGTCCAATTTCTCTTTATTATACAAGTCCCCCTGAAGTATGACGCTGTTTTAAACTGTTATCCTCTTCTAGATCTCAAAACTGCTTTGAAGGCCTGGTTCTTGTTTCTCACTCAATCAAGTATCGGTTTCATAATTAAGTCTTTAATTTCCTTGGAAAGATGTCAGAATGTCTCTGAAGAGATACTTTCTTCCCTGATCCAGCTGGGCTGCTTTCCTTCACTCTTTTAATCTCTAAATACTTTTCCCCCCAGAAGAGCCCTACCTTCTGGGGATGGGGCAGGAATGACCCTCAAGATCTGCTCTATTTGATTCACTGTTGAAGTTCCAGGAAAAAGAGGTTTCCCAAGTAGCAGCTCTCCCAGAATACAGCCAATGCTCCACATGTCTACACCTTTAGTGTAACTACAAATAAGAACAGAACAGAGTTAGGACAAAGTCAAGCAGCTGTTTTTCTGTACCTGGTATTCACATCACCTACATTAGTTTATTTTGCTAGAAAAACAAGCTTGATGACTCCTTGAATATGAATGTTCACAGGTTTTAACTATGAAGTGAATGAGATTTGAGAATCATGAAACTGACAAGCATAAAAGGAGATTTAATCCTACTGAAAGTCCATTCTAGGAAACCATAAAAGCAAATATATTAAATTCAAATGCCAGGGCAAGGTACTATACATTTTTCATAGCACCAACTGTGAAGATACAAGTTGCTGTTTGGAAACAACTTGACTTTACAGAATCATAGAATAGTTAGGGTTGGAAAGAACCTTAAGATCATCTAGTTCCAACCCCCCTGCCATGGGCAGGGACACCTCACACTAAACCATCTCACCCAAGGCCTCGTCCAGCCTGGCCCTGAACACTGACAGGGATGGAGCATTCACAACCTCCCTGAACAACTCATTCCAGTGCCTGACCACCTTTACAGTAAAGAATTTCTGCCTTATATCCAATCTAAACTTCCCCTGTTTAATTTTTAACCCATTACCCCTTGTCCTGTCACTACAGTCCCTAATGAAGAGTCCATCCCCAGCATCCCTATAGCCCTCATTCAGATACTGGAAGGCTGCTGAGGTCTCCACGCAGCCTTCTCCAGGCTGAACAGCCCCAACTTTCTCAGCTGATCTTCATATGGGAGGTGCTCCAGTCCCCTGATCATTCTCGTGACCCTCCTCTGGACTTGTTCCAACAGTTCCAGACTTTTCAGGACATAATGTATTTAGAAAGTACTTACAACTATTAAGCAAAGTAAATGCCAAAAAATGGGTAAATGACAGTTTGCAAATCATCCATATTTCAAATTTGGGATACTGAGCCAGCCCAGTTGGTTTGTTTTGTTTTGTTTTTTCCAGAAAAAAAAGCAGCTCAGGGTTGGTTTTTTTTTTCTGATCAATAAGATGTTGTATGTTTAAGTCAAAAAAGGACTAGGCCTGACTAGCTGGTGATTTAACATTTGATTACAGGATAGTTTTTGAAAGTCTATAAAAAAATTCTCCATAAATTTGGAAAAGAGAACGAAGGTACTCAACCAAATTCTGCAAAGATACAGATTTAAAAGGAGACAGAATAAGTGTAGTAGTAGAAAGGACAACAAACAGATGGGTTGATAGTGTATGTAAGCAGGCAATCTAAGAAGCCAGGAGGGAAATGTACACATGAGAGATTTTTTTACTTTGCAGAACTGAAGTTTAAATGCATATTGAGAAATTGAGCTGCTAACATGACATTGCATCTGGTGACATCCAAAATGAAAATACTGAAGCTTTTAGACATTAGGTTTTCTCAGTGGGAAGAAATTACAGAATGCCCTCCCTTCACTCAATATTAGAGTTACCTCCGACAGGAAAGTAAGATCTCAGGCGCTCGGTACCAGCGTGTTGCCACATACTCTGTTAGAGCAGGGTTGACTTGGTCCTCATTCATCTGACGTAAAGAACGGGCCAGCCCAAAGTCACAAAGTTTGACAAAGCAGTCTGCATCCAGCAAGATATTTGAAGGCTGAATTGAACAAAGGAAAATTAATAAGCTTTTTAATCTCTGGATGGCAGAAGATTATTATCAAGTTCTTTTATTAATCTCCTTCTTTTAATATATTTTCCATTTAGTGTTTAACAAAACTTGAGTGAAGGATAAATACTGTGATTGAAATATACCTTCTGATCTCTGTGAATAACATTTCCTGAGTGGATGAATTTAGTTGCCTTCAGGAGTTGGTAGAGAATGTAACACTTGTGGATATCTTTCAGCAAATTCCCCTTCTTAATCACAGCATGTAAATCTGTCTCTGTAATATATTACATCAGTAATATATTTACATCAGTAAAGGAATGCAAGTTTCTCAAACCAAGGCCAGAATAGGCCATTGTCCAAACTGTAATCTTTCAAGTGCATCCTCAACAGCAGTTAACACTGTAATTACTAATCATACTGTAATCTTTCTGTACTATCATCAGTCCGAGCTGTGGTTCATGCTACTAGCTGTTCTATTTTTGCATCTTTTGTTATAATAAAATTGCACAGTCTCTTCCATATGCAACTCTCCTGTCTCTCCAAGCCTTCTAGTTTGTTGCTCACTGCTGTCTTTCCTTCATCTCAACCAGACAGTTCCCATGTAATTATTATTCCTTTTAAAGTCTCACTGCTATTCGAATCTATTCACAACTGATACTTGTTTTGAAAAATGTACTGCTCCTACTTATATGAATATTCATGTAAATCATCAACACACTATCAAAGTAGGGAACAAAGATAACTCATAGGACAGGCTGTATTTAAATTGGTGATGCAGTGCTAAGTCTCACCCATGGACTCAAAGATGAGGTAGATGTCCTTATCATTCTGAGCTTGGATAACATCCAGCAGCTTGATGATATTTGGATGTTCTCCAAATTCCTGCAGAGGGAAGAGACCCAACTGTCAAAAATCATTTGTCTTGCATGTGAACCATAAAAAGGGACAATAACCTATTTAATTTTGTATTTATGCTTGCTCCATAGTATGAACCCAGGCAGGAAATGCAAACAAATGAAAATCTACTGTCTGAGACATGAGTTCTAAAAACCGCTCTATACCATTTGCAAATAAAATCCAATCATCTTTATGCACCTCAGATTCCCTACTGAATGCAAAGAATGAGTGAAAGCAGAGCAAAGTTGCCATCAACATCCATAACGAACAAATCCAACCAACTTGAGAGTGGTCTGAAACCCTCCACAGGCTGCCTTGGTTGAGCTGACTGTAATGGGAGAGCAGACAGCAGAGAGACACCTAAATACAGATACCTTAAACTGTAGGTGAATTCTACCCTCACATTTGCAGACTGACAATGCTGTCAAGATGATTTCTTCATTTCCTATAGCTTATTTCAACATGTTTTATTCCCTATACCTATAAGCACTTCCGTTGCAGCCAGAGACACTCTGGACACTTCAAAATATGCCAACATTTCATGAACTACCCTGTATATAATATTATAAAGAGCTGCACCACAAAATCTGTGCTTGTATCTAAAATGAGTGAATTTTTTGTTATTTGAACCAGTAATGTTGACTCTTTATCTATTTCCATCACAAATTCAGCTATAAACAGTATCAAAAAGCATAATATTAAGCTACCCCAGTACAGTCTTATAACAGCATTGTCTTCCTAGACTCTGAGGCCAGGATAAAAATTGGTTCTGATGTATAACATCTAGAAAAAAACACAAACCAACACACTCACCTGCAGCAACCCATTAAAATACACTTACAAAGCAGTAATATACACCCAGGCCATCAAACACCCTTGCATTTATTCTGAGGACAATATTCAGAATACCCATCCAAATAGTCTAAAGAAAATTTTTACCCAAAAGGGATATTTTTCTAGAGATCCATCAGTCTTGACAGTGTTATTTCAGTACTGTTTAAGAACTTACTGTCTTGTCCTGGAACTGATAATGGAAAGTTATGAAAAAATTTCATTCTATACTAAAAAAATCCTACCTTGAAAAACATCTTGTCAGACCCAGTCCTACTTATCTTTGCTTAAAGAACAATGCTCTTAATAATTACCAAAAACAACACTCTAAAACGTGGCCCAAAAGGTACCAAACAGATCTACAACTATACTGAACAACAAAACATAAACCCTGCAAGCAGCATAATGACCAGCATATCGCATATCACCCAGAAGGGAATCATCAAAATGCCTGGATTCTACAAAAGCACTTCTCAATTAAAGAACTAAACTTCATACTTCATATTCTACTTTTTCTTCTCCCAATTCCTCCTGCACCAGTCTACTCCAGAAGTGTTACACTTTCAGAAATGGTCTAACTTAGAGGTAATTCACTTCTAAGGAATTGTTCTCATATGTTTTTATCTCTTCAATTTGCAGCTTCCATTTCAGGTTTAAAGAATTAAAGGATTAAAAAGCAAGAAACCTCATCTCTTACCTACTTAAACTTGACAGTCTTATGAAATACCTCTTCATATGAGCCCTGCCTTGCTTGTGTCCTTAGAAGATCATAGTTATGATAGCATGTCTTAAAGGAAAGATAAGGCAAACTCTCCATTTCATTCAGGTGGTTTTGCCCAGCCATGCACACTGTTTGCCAAGATGGTGTAGAAAAGATATAAACAGAATTGTCAACATTGATCATTGTATCTTGAAAAACAGTGGGAAGAAAATATGCGAACATCAGAGATAATGAAAACTCAGAGAGAAGTGGGGACAATACACGTTACCTGTAGGAACATAATCTCTCGAAACGTTCTCTAGAAATAAACAACAAACAAGTTTATTATCACCACAACAGAATGACAGAACAGAGCATAAACTTCTCATCTCTAAAGCAGAGGAAACCCTTATACGGTAGACAGGCTAGGAAAAAAAAAATTGCTCACTAGTTACAAGTGTGCTCTCTGCTTAGACACTATATCATAACAACACATGGGAGAATCAAATTATGCATGTCTACAAAGACACTTTTTCCTCAGGGATATCAAACAGTATTTTGTAGATGCCATGATATACAAAGCTTGACATTTGTTGGTCCTAATATATCCTAATAATATCCTAATATAGATGTTGACTGTTTTATTACATGCATAATTGTCAAATGACTAACATCTTTCAAAAACATAAATCCTGAAAATACCTATGAACTCCCATCACATCTTTCAAGACATATTAGAATGATTAGAATAATTTCTCACCTGAGCATCTGTTTTGTTTCTGAAAGCATCAAAAATCTTTTTAACAGCCACTATTTCGCCTGTCCTGCGATCAATTGCTTTCCATACAATGCCATAAGCCTAGAGAGAAAAAGGCACAGATGAACACTGTACTATGGCATTTAAAGCACAGTTCAGACCTTCAGTGTGGAAGCAGAACACGCTCATTAGAAGGACTGAAAGAAGGGGTAATCACCAGCTACTTAGAAGAAAGAGATTAGGCCAATGAGCTGCAGTTGGTTTAGTCAAGGACTAAGAACAGCTACACTGAGTTCAACCAAACATCCACAAGGTAAAGTGTCCTGGTTCTTAAAGCAGCCAATAGCAGATATACATGCTCATGAAGTTCAACAAGGCCACGTGCAAGGTCCTGCACCTGGGTCAGATCAATCCCCAGTATCAAAACCGGGGGAGGAATGGGCTGAGATCAACCCTGAGGAGAAGGACTTGGGGGTACTGGTTGATGAAAAACTGGGCATGAGCTGGCAATGTATGCTTGCAGCCCAGAAAGCCAACTGTATCTTCGGCTGCAAGGAAAGAAGAACCAGGTCATCAGGCCCAGTCAGCATGGGCTACTGTTAGGGAATATGGACTTGTCACATACCCAATCAAGGAATCACATTACTACCACCTAAGACTTTAAATACTGGGACTTTGCAGTCCTTTGGTGATGGCAGCTCAGTGGACAGATGGGTGCCGCATGTTGACTCTAGACACAGAAATTCAGGCAGATGTTTTCCCTTTTTGCCTCTATCCTGATCTTTCCCAAGCAGAGTCTCAGGCACACTTCGATGAATTCATTCAGTACCAACTGAATGGTGAGCTACAGCTTAAGCTGGGTGCCTCCAGAGAAGGACCCTGAACAGAGAAATCCCTGAGCAATCATACTCTTGCAATTGAAGCTTCTCACTCCTCACATGGTAATTCCAAATAATAACATTAGGATCTGGGGTTTTCTTGCTCTCCACTGGGTCTCTTCACTGCCTCTAGACAGGCCATTTCTTCTGTTATCTCTAAGGTTGAATCTTCTGCTAACAAGAGTAGTGAGCTTTGTGGCTTCCTCGTGTATATGGCAAATGAACTCTGGGGCCTCCTTTAATTTAAGTAGGTAAAAAGCTCAGCATACCTATGTGAAAGTTCACATCTTGCAGGCTAAGGTTTCAGCACATGTAACTACTACGGCTGAGTAAGTTACACTAAGTGACTAACTTCCTTAATTTCTTTACATTTAAGAAAGACAGGTCCTGCTTGACCAACCTGATGTTCTGTGACAAGGTGACGCACTTGGTGGATGAGGCCAAGACTGTGCACGTTTTCTATCCAGACTTTAGTAAAGCCTTTGACACCTTTTCCCACAGCCTTCTCCAGGAGAAAATGGATGCTCATGGCTTGAATGGGTAAACTCATTCACTGTTCACTGCGTAAAGAACTGTCTGGATGGCCAAGCCCAGAGAGTGGTGGTGAATGGAGTTCAATCCAGTTGGCACCAGCCACAAGCACTGTTCCCCCTGCCTCAGGACTGGGGCCAGTTCTGTTGAATCTCTTTATCAGTGATCTGGATGAGAGGATCAGGGTCACCCTCAGTAAGTCTGCAGACACCACCAATCTGGGTGGGAGCGTTGATGTGCTGGAGGGCAGGAGGCTCTTCAGAGGGATCAGGACTGGCTGGATCCAGGAACAGAAGCCAGTGGGATGAGGTTCAACAAGGCTCAGTGCCTGGTCCTATACTTGGGCCACAAGAACTCCATGCAATGCTCCAGGCTTGGGTAAGAGTGGCTGCAAAGCTGCTCATGGAAAGGGACCTGGGGGTATTGATCGACAGAGCCGAACATGAGCAGTTTGTGCCCAGGCAGCTGAGAAGCCAATGGCATCCACACACATGATACACTGATGTACCAGCACCAGTGCAGCAGCAGCGCCGGGGCAGTGACTGTCCCCTGTACTGGGCACTGGTAAGGCTGCACCTTGAACCGTATGCTCAGTTTTAGGCCTCTCACTATGAAAGACATTGAGGTGCTGGAGCGGGCCGGAGAAGCGTAACAGAGCTGGTGAAGGGCCTGGTGCACAGGTGTGATGGGGAATGGCTGAGGGACCTGGGGAGGGGTTAGTCTGGAGAAAAGTAAGTTCATTGAAGACCTTATCACTCTCTATAACAACCTGAAAGGAGGATAGAGCAAGGTATCTTCTGACTGACAAGTGACAGGAGAAGAGGAAATGGCCTCAAGTTGTGCCAGGGGAGGTTTAGACTGGGTATTAGGAATAAATTTTACCCAGAAAGGCTTGTCAAGCACTGGAACTGGCTGCCCAGGGCACTGTTTGCGTTACCATCTCTGGAGATATTTAAAAGACATGGTTTAGTGGTGCATTTGGCAATACCAGTTTTATGGTTGGCCCTGAGGATCTTAAATGATCTTAAATGCTGTGCTTGGCGTGAAAGTTTCTGTGAGTCAAAGGGTGAGGTGCTGGGAGGGGATGGGCAGAGCTGAGGAGGTTCTGCAGCTCAGCCACAGTGGTGATAATGCTAGTAAAAGGTTTCTGTCCCATTCGGAGAGCAGAGAGAGCTGGGCTTGTTCAGCTTAGAGAAGGCTCCCCAGAGACCTTAGAGCAGCTTCCAGTAGCTAAAGGGGGCCTACAGGAAAGATGGAGAGGGACTTTTTACATGGGCATGTAGTTACAGGACAAGGGATAGTGGTTTTAAATGAAAGAGGTGAGATTTAGATTAGATATTAGACAGCATTTTTTCCCTATGAGGGTGCTGAGGCACTGGCACAGGTTGCCCAGAGAAGCTGTGGCTGCCCCATCCCTGGCAGTGTGTTCAGGGCTAGGCTGGACACAGGGGCTTGGAGCACCCTGCTCTAGTGCAAGGTGTCCTTGCCCGTGGCAGGTGGTTGAAACTGGAGGAGCTTTAAGGTTCCTTCCAACACAAACCAGACGGGGATTCTAGGATATAAACTCTCAGACCGCCATCACTCGACTTGGCTCAGCTCCGCGGCCCGCGGCAGATACCGGGAAGCCTCAGACCAAGGCGTCGCCGGGATGCCCTCAGGCAGCGCTGGACTCGCTGCCCAGCTCCCCGAGCTCCCCGGGCCCCCCCCAGGTACTCACCCCCTTGCCCAGGCGCCTCTTGATCTCGTACTTCTGGGAGACGAGCGCCTCCACCTCCGGCGCGATCATGACGGCCGGGCCGAAGCGGGCGGCGGGAGGCGGCGGGAGGCGGCGGGAGGCGGCGGGAGGCGGAGGGAGGCGGCGGGAGGCGGCGGGAGGCGGCGGGAGGCGGCGGGAGGCGGCGGGAGGCGGCGGGAGGCGGCGTGCAGTCAATCGCCCCGCCGCCCTGCACAAGGCCGCAAGCCGCGCTCGCGCTGTCGCTTTTTGCTGCTATGGAAACGGCGCAGCCGAGCAGCGCATGCGCCAAGCGGGCCGTGCCCGCGCAGGCGCACAGTGTAACGTCAGCCGTCCTGCCGGGGCTGTTGCAGGTGCTCTGGGGTCGTTTTCGGGGTCTGGGGCGCGGGGCTGTTGTTTCCTTCTTTCCTAGGTTCCTTTTTCCCCCATCCACCTTCACGCTTTCTCCTTTCTTCTGCCCCCACCGGGCGTGAGAGTGCTCCGGGGCAGCGCATCCGGTGCAGTCACTTGGGCAAGTTTACTTGATAAACTTGGAGCTCGCGGGCGGTGCCGGACGTTGCTTTCAAATGGGCACCATTCGCATGCACTGTAAAAAAAAGTTCTTTTTTTTTATTTTTTTTTTTTTTTTTTCAAAAAATGTAGCTCCCACCATCGCTAATGCTGCAGAGCTCCCCGTGCCAGGAGCGTGCGCTGACAGACACCGTGTCCCATAGCGTCCTTTGTAACAAACTGACCAAATACAGGCTAGGAAGTGCAGACTGAAAACGTGGAGAGCTCTGAAGCCAGAGGTCTGCCATTGGTGACGTGAAGTCCAGCTGGAGGTCAGTGGAGTTACCCCGGGGATCAACCTCTTTGTCAGTCAGCTAATGAGGGGTTGCAGTGCAGCCCCAGTGAGTTTGCACCACTTTACGTGAGGGTGGTGGGACACTGGCACAGGGTGCCCAGAGAAGCTGTGGAGTGTTCAAGGCCAGGTTGGACACAGGGGCTTGGAGCAAGCTGCTCTAGTAGAAGGTGCCCCTGCCAGGCGGTTGGAATTAGATGAGTTTTAAGGTCCCTTCCAACACAAACCAATTCTATGATTCTATGACACAAACCGGGGAGGAGCAGCTGATAGAGCAGGTAGTTGTGCTACTATCCAGGGACCCTGTCATGCTGGAGAAAGGGACCAAGAGGAACTTGGTGAAGTTTGTCACTCGAAAAGGGAGGAATAATCCCATGCAGCAGTACAGGCTCGTAGCTATTGGGTTAGAAGACAGCTTGCTAGGAAAGGACCTGGAGGTCCTGGTGGACACCAGGTTGACCACGAGCCAGCAAATGTGCTCTTGCAGCAAAGGCAGCAAATATTGTCCTGGGCTGCATGAGGAACAGTCAGTGAGCTGCGTGAGGGAGGCAACCCTGCCCTTTTACTCACCACTGAGACACCATGCCTAGAGTATCTTTCATGGTTCTGGGTTCCCCAGTATGACAGACATGGACATATGAGATTGTGTCCAGCAGAAGGACACAAAGATGATTAAGGTTTGAAGCATCTGTGATATGAGAGGAGGCTGAGAGCTAGGATTGTTTAGCCTAAGGAAGGTTCAGGGGATCTTAGAAACGTGTTTAAATATCAGGCAGAGGAGGGGGGAAGACAGAGCCAGACTGTTCTGAAACGGAAAGTTGTGATGGAATTTCAATACCATGTAGATATAAGAAAAACTTTTTCTTTTTTCTTATTTTTTTCTTTTCTCTTTTCTCCTTTTTTTCTCTTCTCCTTTCCTTTTCTTTCTTCTCTTTTTCTTCTGTTTTCTCTTATTTTCTTCCTTTTTCCTTTCCTTTCCTTTCCTTTCCTTTCCTTTCCTTTCCTTTCCTTTCCTTTCCTTTCCTTTCCTTTCCTTTCCTTTCCTTTCCTTTCCTTTCCTTTCCTTTCCTTTCCTTTCCTTTCCTTCCCTTCCCTTCCCTTCCCTTCCCTTCCCTTTCCTTTTCCCCTTCCCTTTCCTTTCCTTTCCCCTTCCCTTCCCTTCCCTTCCCTTCCCTTCCCTTCCCTTCCCTTCCCTTCCCTTCCCTTCCCTTCCCTTCCCTTCCCTTCCCTTCCCTTCCCTTCCCTTCCCTTCCCTTCCCTTCCCTTCCTTTTTTTTTTTGTTTACTTGTGTGGCAAAACATTTGAACAGGATGCACAGAGAGGATGTGGAGATCTTGGAGATACTAAAAAGCACTGAAAGTGGCCTTGCTCTGGTTGATCCTACTTTGAGGTCTCTTCCAATTGAAACAAAGGTCTGCTTCTGTATAAAACAGCCCAGTGTGAATGTTAAAACTTGGACTAAGAGTGACTTCTGGTGTCACTGTCAGTGAGGTAACTGAAACTCAGAAATGTTCAACTTGGAAAGAGAATGTAGCTGAAGTCTGTTAGAAACAACTCTTTACGTCTTGCTTCTCAAGTGAAACACTAAAGCAAGAAAAGGATGAGGTAAAAATTGATATGCACATCTTCAAGGCCAGGTTGGACAAGGCCTTGGGTAATATGGTTTAGAGTGAGGTGTCCCTGCCCATGGCAGGGGGGTTGGAACTTGAAGATCTTAAGGTCCTTTCCAACCCTAACTATTCTATGATTCTATGTTAAATGAAAGTATTTTATTGATAGTTACGACCAAGGGTCAAATACCTCAACTGCTTATATTGTGTAAATGATTTGGTTCCTTGATTTGGTTTTATTTATTTTCTCTTCTTTGGAGACTAGCAGAAGGTAAAATAAATCCTTGCTGTGTAGAAGATTTGGGAAAATGAATACTGCTAAAAGTAAGAGCTGGCCTACACTGGGTACTATGGTATTTTTAGATGAAGTTTGCCTCACTGCCTACGAATATAACTTGCTCATGGAAAATTACTAATTAATGAAACACAAAAGTCTGATTTCAAAGAGAAAATGTCATTGTTTATTCTGGGACATGAAGGGATTGCAGTTTCAAATGTCTTAATATAGATGGTTTACAGCTGATGTTACTTTTAAGATCTGTTGTCTGGATCATGTGCTGAGCATGAGCTGTGTCAATCCATCCTCCCACAGAGTATTTTCTTCTCTATACTGTTACTTAGTTAATGGTGGCAGCAGCTGGCAGTCCAGCAATGTCTGCTGGCACTGGCATGAGTGAGGTTAATGGGCACATCTGAACAGGCTGTGAGACCTGTAGGTTTCACCAGTTGCATTGTGCACCTGATGCTTGTGTAGACAGTGTCTTGGCGTGTGCCATGTCCTGAATGTACTGGTTCTCCCTAAGAAGCTGCTCCTGCTGCTCTCTCAATTGAACTTTAGTTTCTTTAAGGATTTTTGAGTATTGGATGAGTCTGAGCAATTCCTGCCGCAGATGCCAATTCTCTGCTTTTACTTGTTTGATATGCTGAATTAGAGATTGTATTGCTGCTGCTTCTGCTCTCTTGGTGAGAACGTGGATCTTATGCTGAAAGTCCATCTTACAGTCATCCTTGGCCTGCAGAAATCTGCTCTTAATTTTGTGCATTTCATCTGAATGCTGTATCTTTGTGACCAACAGTTCCTTTTCCAGCTGCTTAATCTTTTTTATCTGTTCCTTTTGATAAGATGGGTCATTGAAAGGCTTCAGGTCCTCAACCTCCATGCTCAGAAGAGAGTACTTTGACTCCATGTTTATCAGATTGCTCCTTACATCCTTTTCTTTTTCTGTGTATTGTGAAATGAGCTTATCTTTCTGCATCCCAATTTCAGACAGATCAGCGTGATTCTGGTCATTTAATGTTATTATCAGATCCTGGCACTTCTGGCTGTGTTTTTTTATGTAAGAGAGGTAAGCATTGCCCTCTTCCTGATTCTGTTGGGCTTCCTTTTCTAGAATTTTATTTTCCTGCATGAAATACTCCATCCTTCCCATATATGTGTTCATATGTTCAGTAACAACCTTGTATTCCTTCTGCAAGTATGTTTTTCTCTCTTGGGCAAGTATTTCCATGTCACTTACTTCTTTGCATGTATCTCCATTCTTGGTTGTTATTTCTTGCTTATTTTTCCCAGCACGTGTGGTGTCTTGTTTCTTCTGCTTTGTCTTGGATGCCATAGTCCACACTGTGAGTATCAAACACTGGCAAACTGTAACAGAATGAAAAATGACAAATTCTAACCAAGTATTTATGCCATACGTATGAGTGTTGCTTTTCTCCCCTGTCATGTCCTGTTATGTTCTTATGTTTTCAGTGATTATTCTGGCAGCTAGAATATTTGGGCTAAATGTTTCATGTCTGGCCTATGTTGTGAGTTGAAACATGCACAAATGCATATTTTAATTTTTATATTCCTAGTTAGCTAAAAAGTAGTTCTGCTAATCTAAAAATACACATCTTTTTAATATTTCTCTTTTATTGTATAATGCTGTATTATTTCTATAGTTTGGAGTACAAAGTCAAATTCCACTGGCCAATTATTGTACTGTCTTTCTGTAGGCAGTAGACCTTGTCCTTAAAACTTCAGCAGCAAGTTAAGAACTAAAGTGCTAACAGAGGCATGCCCAAAACTTCCATACTCATAAAGCAAATTCTAAAACATAAGTGCTAAGTCATCAGGCTGGACTGGAAGTTATCTGTAGAAAATGTTATGGACAGTAGTACAGATTAAGCCCCGTTCCTCCATCAAAGCTATGTCCTGCAGTTGTATTTGAAGAGACAGCTGAATCCTTTTCCTGGATTTAGAAAGTTCAGTCAGTATTTTCTTATGAAATGAGAGCAGAAAAGGAAGTTTTGCAACCAATTTTAATCTCGGGATTCAGTAATCAAGCAAGATACTCATTCATTTTGGAGACTGACCATGTTTTTATCCTTCCACTGCCTGAGGTAACATAAACTGATAACTTCTTGGACATCATCTTAAACTATAATGTCATTTGAGATATGACACAGATAACTAAATATTTATGAATATAGAGAGTGAAATAATGACCATAAAGGCAGTAATGGCTAAAGAAACATCCTCCCAGATCTGGCCATGGAAAGCGTGCCATGGATTCTGATGGAATGTTGAATGTGCTGTATGGATGTGCGCATTGTCTAGGACTGAATTCTTCTCTCAGAGATGGTGAGTGGGAGATAAGTACACAACATTCAGGGCTGAACATCGATTCAACATCTCTTTTTTTGTGTTCCATTTTGGTTCCGTTATAGGTAAGTAGCCTGAAATTTGCTTTGGTGTTTTAGTCAAATTAAGGTAAAATGGCTTACTCTATCATGAGGAAGATGTTACAACTTTGTCAGAGTACATTGGTAACCATGCCTTGGTTTTCTGTGTTTTTACGAGTTGTTCTGTCTCTGGCTTGTCTCTTGCTGAGAAGGTATCAGTCCTTTAATAAAGACAGTTTGATTAAGGCTGCATGAGAGGCTTCTCGTTCTACCTGTGTCATTTTCTATTTATACTGGTCAAGTTATTCCAAAGCACAATATTATCATAGCTAATCAATTTGTATTTCTGCAGTAGACTATGTATTCTTGGCCTGTGGCAGGTATGTGACAAAGCACTGCATAGTAGGTCAAACACAATGTTTTATTTTTATAATAAAACTTTATCATTTTATTTTTAAACTCTCAAGATTTCAAGGACATTTTGGGTGGGCAGAATGAGTCCACACTGGGAGTAACAGGAGTGGTTTGCAGGAGTGGTTTGCCACATTCTTTTGTTCTTGACTGGAAATGCGTTTCTAGCAAGCATCCTGCTTCAGCTCATCTGCATTGGGTACACACACACACCACTTCACACTGCACATAGGAATTCTGGTCTGATACTTCCTACTGTGTTACTCACTCATCACTGATAGGACACATTCACAGAACCATCAAACAGCTGAGGCTGCAGGGGACCTTAGGAGATTGCCTAGTCCAGCCCCTTGCTCAGAGCAGGGTTAACCACAGCAGGTTGCTTAGTTATGTGTCCAGTCAGGTTTTGAGTATTTCTAAGGACATAGAATCATAGAATAGTTAGGGTTGGAAAGGACCTTAAGATCATCAAGTTCCCCCCCCTGCCATGGGCAGGGACACCTCGCTCTAAACCATATCACCCAAGGCCTCATCCAGCCTGGTCTTGAACAGTGTCAGGGATGGAGCATTCACAACCTCCCTGGGCAACCTATTCCAGTGCCTCACCACCCTAACAGGAAAGAATTTCCTCCTTATATCCAATCTAAACTTCCCCTGTTTAAATTTTAACCCATTGCCCCTTGTCCTATTACTGCAGTCCCTAATGAAGAGTCCCTCCCCAGCATCCCTATATGCCCCCTTCAGATACTGGAAGGCTGCTATGAGGTCTCCATGCAGCCTTCTTTTCTCCAGGCTGAACAGCCCCAACTTTCTCAGCCTATCTTTATATGGGAGGTGCTCCAGTCCCCTGATCATCCTCGTGGCCCTCCTCTGGACTTGTTCCAGCAGTTCCATGTCCTTTTTATGTTGAGGACACCAGAACTGCACACAATGCTCCAAGTCAGGTCTCACGAGAGCAGAGTAAAGGGGCAGGATCACCTCCTTCGACCTGCTGGTCATGCTCCATAGGCTCTAGAAGCCCACCAGGGAGCCTGTTCCTTCTGTTTGACCACCCTCACAGTAAAAAAGTTTTTCATCCTCTTCATCCTGTCAGCTCCAGTAGAACTGTGCACATTCATTTTGTTTAAATGAAATGTTCCCTAACCTGATCCTCCTCCATTATGGGCAAGGCTTCCTTGATCCAGGCTTTCTCCCTGGCCTCAGGGACCTCAGATTCTGCAAGGTCAGTTTTACCAGTAAAGACCAATGCAAACAGTGCACTCAGCCTTTTTGGCGTCCTCTGTCACTCATCCTCTGCCTCTTTCAGCTAAAAGGCCATGTTTCCCTGGTGGTCTTTCGACTGCTCATATACCTGTAGAAGCCTTTCTTGTTGCCATTCACATCCCTTCCTGTATTCAATTCCAGATGGACTTTGGCTTCCTGCACATTCGGACAGTGTCTTTGTATTCATCCTGGGTTGTGCGATCCTGACACTTGGATGATTCATCATTTTTACATTGTGAGTTTTGTAAGGAGCATCTTGGTCTTTGGTGTAGGCCTTCGGCCATCCTTGCTTGACTTCCTGCTATTTGGGATGGGCCATTCTTGAGATTGGAGGAGCTCTCCTGCACTTCTCTTCAAGGACCATCTCCCATGGGATTCTTCCAGACACTGAATAGCTCAAACTCTATACTCTCCTAAAGTCCAGGACTGCGATCTTACTATTTGCATTGTTCCCTTTTTTCAGGATCCTGAACTGCATCATCTTGTGGTTACTGCAAGGCTATGCCCAGATTTCACATCTCAAACTAGTACTGCCTTGTTTGTAACTATCAGGTCCAGGAGAGGAGTAGAACCAAGATGCTAGTAAAATTTACCAGAGTAAAATGCATGTTTAGAGCACAGGCTTGTTTTCCAGGAGGGTCAAACATTACTGGATAATGAATGATGAAGCACAGCAGCAAGACAGGAGCTGTACCTGTCTGATATTCATGCTTTTTCCTTTAGGTTCAGAATATTTGTTTTGTTGGTCTTGACTGTGGCACAGGTTCACTGGTAAGTACAGCTAAACACTTCCTGAATTTGAGGAATAAGTTTGAAGACGTTTTGCAACATTTGTGAGATACCAAGTGAAGGTGGCAGAATAACGATTGTGCCCTATATAGCTCTTTTAAAAATTGACCTTCTGTATATATCAAGTTATTAAAATATAGCATAGAAAAGGGATGTCTAGTATTTAGCATAATTTCTGTGATGTGAATGAGGCAGGGAACTGTTGAAATAACAGTAAGTGATAATGTAATAATTTCAATATATATTCAGGCAGTGTGAGCACTGTGCCTGCAATGCTACATTAAGAATTTGCCTTTTTTTTTCAACTATTCATTTCAGGAGGGGATTTTTTATTATTTTTTTTAACATGCAACGTTAAGTTTTAAAGCTCCTGAGATACCTGCAATCTAAGAGGCACAGTTAAGTCCACAATAGATACTAAAGGAAGGAAAGTGCATCATTATTAGAGAAACTGAACTGAGCTGGGTTCAGTCTGCGCTTGCAGCCCAGAAACCAGCCGTGTACTGGGCTGTATCAAAAGCAGCGTGAAGGAGGTGATCCTGCCCATCTACTATGCCCTTGTGAGACACCATTTGGAGCACTGTGTGCAGTTCTGGTGTCAACATAAGAAGGACATGGAGCTGTTGGAGCAAGTCCAGATGAGAGCATGAGGATGATGAGGGGCTGAAGCACCTCCCCTATGACAACAGGCTGAGAAAGGTGGAGCTGTTCAGCTGGAGAAGAGAAGCTGCATGGAGACCTCAGAGCAGCTTCCAGTATCTGAAGGAGGCCACAAGGATGCTGGAGAGGGACTATTCATCAGCGACTGTAGTGGTAGGACAAGGGGGTGATGGGTTCAAACTTAAACGGGGGAAGTCCAGGTTAGACACAAGAAAGATGTTCTTTGAGGGTGGTAAGGCGGTAAGGCCCTGGCACAGGTTGCCAAAAGAAGTGGTAAATGCTTCATCCTTGGCAGTGTTCAAGGCCAGGTTAGACAGAGCCTTGGGCGACATGGTCTAGTCTGAGATGTCCCTGCCCATGGCAAGGGGTTGGAACTGAATGATCTTAAGGTCCTTTCCAACCCTAATTATGATTCTGTATGATTCTATTAATGATTCTTGCATATATATAGTAGCAAAATAGAGGGGTAACTAGTACCTTGTGTGCTGAATTTCTAAACTAATTCAAAAGAGGAACAGTGCAATCAAGGATTTAGAACTCGAGAGAACGTTTTAATGAACATAAAAGTTACCGTATCATAATACAAACGGTGACCCTTTTTAAAGAAAATATGCAAAATTCAGGGAGGTAAGTGAACAAAATGTAATAAATATACAAAAATCGCCTGCCACAGTAATAGCAGAACAGGTTCCAAGCTGGGAATATGGCAGCTGCATCAGAAGTAGAGCGGTTATGGGGAGACAGAAGACTCTACAGAAATCATTGCAGTTGTTTTGGGAAACAGACTTGACCCAGAAGGGTATCACAACAGGCAATAGCAGAACTGAGTTAATACTAATTGTGTGGTTTTAGGGGAAAGGCACCTGTAGAGCTGTATGAATGCTAGAGAAATTCCTACATCTGCATGGGAAAGCCAGGCCTTGTGGCAGTTGGCATACAGAATGGGGTGGGTGTTTTAAAGAAAGCACTGACCTTCCCTGCTCCTGTGGTCTTCATGGATTTTCCAGATAGCTTCTCGTGGCTTGCTGCTCCCGCTCTATTTGACAGCATTTGCTGATTGCCAGCCTGTGCTCTCTAAGGAATGCTGCTGATTGTAAGCTGTGCGTGACCATGGCGATGAAACATAACAAGTCACAAAAGAAGTTCTGCAGTGAGATTCTTGGAGCTGTTTCAGTTCCCAGCTCGGTTGTGGGGCCTGACTGTGATACTTATTGGCATCAGGGTCCTGGTTGCAGCTGGGATAGACAATCAGTTAAGCAGAAACACAAAGGCAGTTTGGCTTTTAAGATTAAGATTTATAGTGGCCAATGTATTAATGAGGAAACAGCCTCAGCTCGCTGCTAAAGGAAAAGGTATGACTTAAGATACAGTCCTCTTTGCGAATTAGGTGCCAGTATCTGCTGGAGCATTTCTGGTTCATACATTTGCATTTTCTTTCCAACAGTTTGGCAAAGAGCCTCAGGTCCCACAAAGTGAAGAAGGGGTGTGTGTATAAGGGGATGTTTGTGTCATCTGAAAGGCATATGCTAGAAAGGAGTTTTGCAGATGCAGTTATTATTTATGGAGGAGTTTCTGCTTTTGGAAAGGAAATGAATAGTTGAGGAGGCAATTTCTGCATTTTGTAGGGAAAATGAGCTAATCCTGGTACATGAGAATTTTTGTTTCTCTCTGTGTGTAACAGTAAAAGTTTGGCATATCTGTGGCATAAGGCAATGAATTTCACTGGTTTACTTGTTCATCTAACCTGGCTATTTGTGACTAAAGTACAAGTTCCTGGAAATGCATCTGAACTTCCACACAGTAATAATGGAGATGACTTCCTTTGCTTGTTTATTACAGTGGTTGATTGGTTTGCATAAAAACATCTGAAAGTGAGATTTTTCTAATTCAAATTTTATACCTTCAGATGTTACTGATTTGTAGGTAGTTTCCTGATAGATCAAAGCACCCTTCTATGTGGTTTATGCACAACAGTGTGGTAGCAGAGGGCAGGGGCTGCAAGGTTGGTTTCTCTGGGAAGACACCGAATACTGGCCCCATGTTGTACAGAACCAAATGGCTCCGAGGACCCACCACTGGCCAAAGCAGAATCCAGCATCAATGGTGGTAGTGCCTCTGTGATGGCATATTTAAGAAAAAGTAAAGATGCTGCACAACAGCAAAAGAAAGAGGGGAGTGAGAATGTGTGAGAGAAACAGCTGTTCAAAAGGCAACATCAGGGAGGAAGGAGGCAGGAGGTGCTCCAGGCAGGCTGTCTCCCTGAAGCACATAGAGGTCCATGTCGGAGCAGATATTCCTCTGCAGCGCAGGGAGGACGCCCACACCGGACCAGGGGGATCCCTGAAGCAGGCTGTGACCCTGTCAGAGGCCAGCACTGGAGCAGGCTCCTTGCAGAACCACTGGAGAGAGGAGCCCACACTGGAGGTTTGCTGCATGACTTGTGACCTCACAGGGAATCCATACTGGAGTAGCCTATTCCTGAAGGACACACCATGTGGAAGGGACCCAGGCTGGAGGAGTCCATCTGGGGGGAGGCAGCGCTAAAGAGGCGGGGTCAGACCTGACTGAAGCCCACAGTGGCTCCAGAGGCTGGTGCTTGCAGGGAAGGTTGGACCTGATTGAAACCCTTGTGTTGACTCGACCGCTATCCTATAGAAAGCATCCTAGAGAATCCTGCCCAAATTGCTTGCAGACCCACCCGAAGTGCCCCAAACATGCCCAGATTAACCACATCCAGCTCAAAGTGCCCCAAAACCCACCTGAAATACCCCCAAACCAGCCCAAATTACATAAAACTCAGCCAAAACTAGCTTGAATTGCCCCAAAATAGCAAAAAAAAACCCCACAAACTGCCCCAAATGGCCTTAAAACCAGACAAATATCCCAAGCTCACCCCAAGTGCCCCCAAACCTGCCCAAATTGCCCCCAAAAGGCCCCAGAGCAGCTGAGTCTGCCAAAATAGCCTGAACCAGCCTGCAATGCCACAAACTGCCCCAAAATCCGCCCCCCAAATTGCCTCAAATCAGCTCAGATGACCCCCAAAGTGGCTTTACCTGTCCTAACCCAGACCCAAATAGACCCAAACTCCCCCAAATGCTCCAAAGCAGCTCATAATGCACTCCAAATGCCCCCAAATGGCTGGAATTACCCTCAATTATGCACAAACAGCCCAAATTGCCCCCAAACCAGCTCAAACCCTTCCGGAAATGCCCCCAAACCACCTTCAAACACCCCAAATTACACTCAAGCCACCAAACCCCAAAGTGCAAACATCCAGACTCCACTCCTAAGCCTCCGGTGCCAGCAAGACAGAAAGCTGCTGCTGGGCCTCACCTACACACAGTGTCCTCAGAAACAGTGCCACGAACATGCCCATCCGCTCCTGCTTATCCATGTAAAGGTTCATCTGTGTCAAGCCTCTGTGGGCAGCATGCTCAGGCAACCCAGAAACCAGCTCCCTAAGTGCAAACATCCGCCCCTGTTGCTAAGCCTAAGATACCAGGGCAGAAAGCTGCTGCTGGGCCTCACCTACTTACAGTGAGCTCTGCAACGCTGCTACCACCATGGATAGCCACTCTTACGTATCCACTTGAAAGTCCATGTGTATACAACCTTGCACGGCAGTGCTCTCAGATTCCCCATGAACCACCTCCTGAGGTGCGAATGTCCAGCCCCTGTACCTAAAGCTAATGTGTGAGGGCAAAAACAAATAACTGGGCATTTCCTCTGTGCCCTCTGGAAGGAGCCTTAAAAAATTGCTTTGAGACACTCTCCTCTACTGCTGTGGAGGACTTAAGTTCCTAAAGGATACTTGCCACAATAGCACAACCACACGGAAGTACTCCATCACCTCCTGATACATGCAGACCTTGCGAGGACTGCTAACACCAGGCTTGCACAACTGCTTGACTACCTTTGTACAACCTATAAAACTAAGCTGCTGCAAAATGCTGCTGTAATTCAACAGTAAGTTGGAGTACCATTTGCCTGCCAGAGAGTTCTGAAATCGAACCCTAAAAGGACATGAGTAAAGAAGGAAGAGAAAGGGGCCTGCTGCACACCTGCGCAGACAGCACACGGCCAGGAGCCTGTCCACAGAGGAAAGGACAAAAATCGGTTAAAAAAAGGCAGGAAACTGGTAAAGAACAGGACAAAAAGAGTTTGGAAATGGCCAAAATGGCTTAAAAAGAGTTAGAACTGGGCAGAAAAGGGTTAGAAATAGCCCAAACCAGTTGAGAAAAAGCTACAAAAAGCTTAAAAGAGGCAAGAAATGGCCATAAATAGTCCAAAACCAGACAAAAATGGCATAAAACTAGTAAGAAATTGGCAAAAATAAGATAGGAATGACCAACAATCGCGAAGAAATAGCCAAAAAAGACTGAAAATGGGTTAGAAAGGGCCAAAAATGGTTTAAACCAAGTCAGGAAAGGGCAAAACCAGGTCAGAAATGGCAAGAAATTGGTAAGAACCGGACAAAAACGGTTTGGAAATGGCCAAAATGTCTTAAAAAGAGTTAGAACTGGACAAAAAAGGGATAGAGATAGGACAAACTAGTTTAGAAATAGCTAAGAAAATGTTAAAACAGGCTAGAAATGGCCATAAATGGTTAGAAATAGCAAAAAAAAAAAAGGCATAAAACTAGCAAGAAATGGGCAAAAATATGATAGGAATGACCAGCCATTGGTTAGAAATAGACAAAAAAAGACTGAAAACACGTTAGCAATAGGAAAAATGGGTCAGAAACAGACAAAATACTCTTTAAACTGGTAAAAAATGGGCAAAAATAGGATAGAAATGGCCATCAATTTTTAAGAAATAGCCAAAAAAGACAAAATAGTTTAGAAATGGGCAGAAATGGGTTAGGAATAGCCGAAAATGTTTCAAACCAAGTCAGGAAAGGGCAAAACCAGGTTAGAAATGGCAGAAAATAGGTAAGAACTGGACAAAAATGGTTTGGAAATGGCCAAAATGGCTTATAAAGTGTTAGAACTGCGCAAAAAAGGGATAGAAATATCCCAAGACAGTTTAGAAATAGCAAAGAAAAGCTTCAAACAGGCAAGAAATGGCCGTGAATTGTTCAGAAATAGCCCAAACCGGCTTAAAACTGGTAAGAAATGAGCAAAAAAAAAAGACAGCAATGACTGTAAATTGTATAGAAATAGCACAAAGGAGATAAAAGGGATTAGAAATAATAAAAAATGGTTCAAACCAAGTCAGGAAAGGGCAAAAAGGGGTTACTAATGGCAAGAAATAGGTAAGAACTGGACAAAAAAGCTTAAAAAGAGTTTGGGAAAAAAAAATGGTTAGAAATAGGCCAAACCAGTTTAGAAATAGCTAAGAAAAGCTCAAAACAGGCTTGAAATGGCCATAAATTGTTTAGAAAGAGCCAAAAAAGACTTCAAAAGGGTAAGAAATGGGCAAAAGTAAGATAGAAGTGGCATTCAATTGTTTAGAAGTAGCAATAAAAAAGACAAAGTAGGTTTGAAATTGCCAATTGTTTAGAAATAGCCAAAAGAGACTTAAAACTGGTAAGAAATGGGCAACAATAAGATAGAGGTGGCCATCAATTGCTCAGAATTAGCCAAAAAAGACCTAAAATGGGCTAGCAATGGGCAGAAATGGGTTAGAAAAAGATAAAAAAGGCCCAGAGCTGGTAAGAAAAGGGCAAATATGCAATAAAAATGGGCATGAATTGTTTAGAAATAGCAAAACAAAAAAAAAAAACCCACTTAAAATGGGTTAGAAGTGGTCAGAAAAGGGTTAGAAAGGGCCAAAAATGGGTTAAACCAAGTTAGGAAAAGGCAAAAAATGGGTAGAAATGGCAGGTAATTACTAAGAACTGGACAAAAATGGTTTGGAAATGGGCAGAACAGCTTAAAAAGCATAAGAATTGGTCAGATAAGTGTTAGAAAGAGCCCAAAGGAGTTTAGAAATAGCTGAGAAAAGCTTTAAACAGGGTAGAAATGGCCATGAATAGTGCAGAAATAGCCATAAATGGCTTAAACCTGGTAAGAAATGGGCAAAACTAAGACAGAAATGACTGTAAATTGTATAGAAATAGCACAAAGGAGATAAAAGGGGTTAGAAATGAATAAAAAATGGTTTAAACCAAGTCAGGAAAGGGCAAAAAGGGGTTACTAATGGCAACAAATAGGTAAGAACCGGACAAAAATGGTTTGGAAATGGCCAAAATGGCTTAAAATAGTTTGGGCAAAAAACCGGTTAGAAATCGACCAAGCCAGTTTAGAAATAGCTAACAAAAGCTCAAAACAGGCAAGAAATGGCCATAAATTGTTCAGAAAGAGTCAAAAAAGACTTCAAAAGGGTAAGAAATGGGCAAAAATAAGATGGAAGTGGCATTCAATTGTTTAGTAATAGAAATAAAAGACAAAGTAGGTTTGAAATTGCCAATTGTTTAGAAATAGCCAAAAGAGACTTAAAACTGGTAAGAAATGGGCAACAATAAGATGGAAGTGGCCATCAATTGTTCAGAAATAGCCAAAAAAGACCTAAAATGGGTTAGCAATGGGCAGAAATGGGTTAGAAAAAGATAAAAAAGGCCCAGAGCTGGTAAGAAAAGGGCAAATATGAATAAGAAATGGCCAGGAATTGTTTAGAAATAGTAAAAAGAAAACCGCTTAAAATGGGTTAGAAATGGGCACAAAAGGGTTAGAAAGGGCCAAAAATGGGTTAAACCAAGTTAGGAAAAGGCAAAAAATGGGTAGAAATGGCAGGAAATTATTAAGAACTGGACAAAATAGTTTTTTAAATGGGCAGAATAGCTTAAAAAGCATAAGAAGTGGCCAGATAAGTGTTAGAAAGAGCCCAAACCAATTTAGAAACAGCTAAGAAAAGCTTGAAACAGGCTAGAAATGGCCATGAAGAGTGCAGAAATAGCCATAAATGGCTTAAAACTCGTAAGAATTGGGCAAAAATAAGATAGGAAAGGATATCAACTGTTTGGAAATAGCCCAAAAAGACTTAAAATGGGTTAGCAATGGGAAAAATGGATTAGAAACAGCCAAAATAGTCTTAAAACTGGTAAGAAATGGGCAAAAGTAAGATAGGAATGACCAGCAATTGTATAGAAATAGCCAAAAAAAGACTTGAAATGGGTTAGAAAGGGCCAAAAATGGTTCAAACCAAGTCAGGAAAGGGCAAAAACGGGTTAGAAATGGCAGGAAATTACTAAGAACTGGATAAAAATGGTATGGAAATGGGCAGAATAGCTTAAAAAGCATAAGAATTGGTCAGATAAGTGTTAGAAAGAGCCCAAAGGAGTTTAGAAATAGCCGAGAAAAGCTTAAAACAGGGTAGAAATGGCCATGAATAGTGCAGAAATAGCCATAAATGGCTTAAAACTGGTAAGAAATGGGCAAAACTAAGACAGAAATGACTGTAAATTGTATAGAAATAGCACAAAGGAGATAAAAGGGGTTAGAAATGAATAAAAACTGGTTTAAACCAAGTCAGGAAAGGGCAAAAAGGGGTTACTAATGGCAACAAATAGGTAAGATCTGGACAAAAATGGTTTGGGAATGGCCAAAATGACTTAAAAAGAGTTTGGGCAGAAAAACGGTTAGAAATAGGCCAAACCAGTTTAAAAATAGCTAAGAAAAGCATGAAACAGGGTAGAAATGGCCATAAATTGTTCAGAAAGAGTCAAAAAAGACTTCAAAAGGGTAAGAAATGGGCAAAAGTAAGATAGAAGTGGCATTCAATTGTTTAGAAATAGCAATAAAAAAGACAAAGTAGGTTTGAAATTGCCAATTGTTTAAAAATAGCCAAAAGAGAGTTAAAACTGGTAAGAAATGGGCAACAGTAAGATAGAAGTGGCCATCAATTGTTCAGAAATAGCCAAAAAAGACCTAAAATGGGTTAGCAATGGGCAGAAATGGGTTAAAAAAAGATAAAAAAGGCTCAGAGCTGGTAAGAAAAGGGCAAATATGAAACAGAAATAGCCAGGAATTGTTTAGAAGTAGTAAAAAAAAAAAACAAAAAAACCTTAAAATGGGTTAGAAATGGGCACAAAAGGGTTAGATAGGGCCCGAAATGGGTTAAACCAAGTTAGGAAAAGGCAGAAAATGGGCCAGAAATAGCAAGAAATTGCTACAGAGCAAGCAGGTTGCTAGTAACACAAGCCTTTTTCACTCTCATCGCTACTGAGACTGCATTATGGCCCCTTACACGTATACCTGTAGCCTTGCAGAAAAAGTATGAAGAGAATTCTGCTTCCTTCTACGAGCACCATATGTAGAGGAGGAGATTTACCAAGGCAGAAACTGTAGCCAGACAGCGACTGAACCTCCTGAATATCTCTTAACAGATACCAAGTCGAAATGGCACTTACTAAACGCTACCCACGTTTGCCTCAGCTGCAGGTACACTCGGAAGTCTCTCTGGAATCCAGGATCACAAAGAGTGAGGTCAGATCCAGGTATTCCTTCGAGATGGTCGTAACCGTGCCACGTGCCTGTTAAGAAACAAACCAGATCAAATGAGTGCTTCTGAAGAGTGCAAAGACAAGGCTGGGGTTGTTTTAAACCTTAACAAGTGAAGTGTTTTGCCCTCAGCACTTCAGGTAAGCGAAACCCAAACACGCATTACTGCCAGACTAGTCAGCTCTAACATCACATCTGCAGCAAAGCAAGATCAGTACAAGCAAATGTGGGCTAAGCACACCCTGATTAGAGAGTTCAGCTTGCTACATCTGGTGCCAAGTATCAGCACAGCTGGACTCTTACTCAATTTCGCTGCCATTTAAGCCCTTCTCACTTCACTCTGTCTAAACCCAGGCACTAGTTCTCCCAACTACAGCATCTGACTGATGCCATCACTTACTTTCCGTGCCCAAAATTAAGCAAGACATAACTCGGCAGCACATAACTCATTAAGCACGTAACTCAGGAGCCTTAAAAACTGCTTTGAGACACTCTCCTCTACTGCTGTGGAGGACTTAAGTTCCTAAAGGATACTTGCCACAATAGCACAACCACACGGAAGTACTCCATCACCTCCTGATACACGCAGAGCTTGCGAGGACTGCTAACACCAGGCTTGCACAACTGCTTGACTACCTTTGTACAACCTATAAAACTAAGCTGCTGCAAACTGCTGCTGTGGTTCAACAGTAAGGTGGGATACCATGTGCCTGCCAGAGAGTTCTGAAATCGAACCCTAAAAGGACATGAGTAAAGAAGGAAGAGAAAGGGGCCTGCTGCACACCTGCGCAGACAGCACACGGCCAGGAGCCTGTTCAGAGAGGAAAGGGCAGAAATGGGTTAAAAATGGCAGGAAACTGGTAAAGAACAGGACAAAAAGAGTTTGGAAATGGCCAAAATGGCTTAAAAAGAGTTAGAACTGGGCAGAAAAGGGTTAGAAATAGCCTAAACCAGTTCAGAACAAGCTACAAAAACCTTAAAAGAGGCAAGAAATGGCCATAAATAGTCCAAAAACAGACAAAAATGGCATAAAATTAGTAAGAAATTGGCAAAAATAAGATAGGAATGACCAACAATCGCGAAGAAATAGCCAAAAAAGACTGAAAATGGGTTAGAAAGGGCCAAAAATGGTTTAAACCAAGTCAGGAAAGGGCAAAACCAGGTCAGAAATGGCAAGAAATTGGTAAGAACCGGACAAAAACGGTTTGGAAATGGCCAAAATGTCTTAAAAAGAGTTAGAACTGGACAAAAAAGGGATAGAGATAGGACAAACTAGTTTAGAAATAGCTAAGAAAATGTTAAAACAGGCTACAGATGGCCATACATTGTTCAGAAATAGCCAAAAATGGCTTAAAATTGGTAGGAAATGGGCAAAACTAAGACAGAAATGACTGTAAATCCTACAGAAATAGCACAAAGAAGATAAAAGGGGTTAGAAACAGATAAAAAGGGTTCAAACCAAGTCAGGAAAGGGCAGAAGTGGGTTAGAAATGTCAAGAAATCGGTAAGCACTGGACAAAAATGGTTTGGAAATAGCCAAAATGGCTTAAAAAGAGTTAGAACTGGGCAAAAAAAGGTTAGAAATAGCTCAAGCCAGTTTAGAAATAGCTAAGGAAAGCTTAAAACAGGCTAGAAATGGCCATAAGGAGTTCAGAAATAGCCAAAAAAGGCTTAAAACTGGTAGGAAATGGGCAAAGATACAAGTGGCCATCAATTGTTTAGGAATAGCCAAAAAGGACTGAAAACGGGTTAGCAATGGGAAAAATGGGTTAGAACCAGCCAAAACAGCCTTAAAACTGGTGAGAAATGGGGAAAAATAAGATAGGAATGACCGGCAATAGTTTAGAAATAGCCAAAAAAGACTTAAAAAGGGGTAAAGGGCCAAAAATGGTTTAAACCAAGTCAGGAAAGAGCAAAACCAGGTTAGAAATGGCAAGAAACTGGTAAGAAAAGGAGAAAAATGGTTTGGGAATGGCCAAAATGGCCTAAGAAGAGTTAGAACTGGGCAAAAAAGGGTTAGAAATGTCCCAAGACGGTTTAGAAATAGCTAAGAAAAGTTTCAAACAGGCTAGAAATGGCCATACATTGTTCAGATATAGCCAAAAAAAGACTTTAATAGGGTAAGAAATGGGCAAAAATAAGAAAGAAGTGGCTATCAATTGTTTAGAAGTAGCCAAAAAAGACCTAAAATGGGTTAGCAATGGGCAGAAATGGGTTAGAAAAAGATGAAAAAGGCTCAGAGCTGATAAGAAAAGGGCAAATATAAAATATAAATGGCCATGAGTTTTTTAAAAATATTAAAAAAAAAAAAAAAAAAAACCTTAAAATGGGTTAGAAATGGGCACAAAAGGGTTAGAAAGGGCCAAAAATGGGTTAAACCAAGTTAGGAAAAGGCAGAAAATGGGCCAGAAATAGCAAGAAATTGCTACAGAGCAAGCAGGTTACTAGTAGCACAAGCCTTTTTCACTCTCATCGCTATTGCAACTGCTTTATGGCCCCTTACACGTATACCTGTAGCCTTGCAGAAAAAGTACAAAAGAATTCTGCTTCCTTCTACAAGCACCGTATGTACAGAGGAGATTTACCACGGCAGAAACTGTAGCAACACATCGACTGAACCTCCTGAATATCTTAAACGCTACCCACGTTTGCTTCAGCTGCAGGTACACTCGGAAGTCTCTCTGGAATGCAGGATCACAAAGAGTGAGGTCAGATCCAGGTATTCCTTCGAGATGATCGTAACCGTGCCACATACCTGTTAAGAAACAAACCAGATCAAATGAGTGTTTCTGAAGAGTGCAAAGACAAGGCTGGGGTTGTTTTAAACCTTGACAAGTGAAGTGTTTTGCCCTCAGCACTTCAGGTAAGCGAAACCCAAACACGCATTACTGCCAGACTAGTCAGCTCTAACATCACATCTGCAGCAAAGCAAGATCAGTACAAGCAAATGCGGGCTAAGCACACCCTGATTAGATAGTTCAAGTTGCCACATCTGGTGCTAAGGATCAGCACATCTGGACTCTTACTCAGTTTTGCTGCCATTTAAGCCATTCTCACTTCACTCTGTCTAAACCCAGGCACTAGTTCTCCCAACTACAGCATCTGACTGATGCCATCACTTACTTTCCATGCCAAAATTAAGCAAAATGCAACTCAGCAGCACATAACTCATTAAGCACGTAACTCAGGAGCCTTAAAAACTGCTTTGAGACACTCTCCTCTACTGCTGTGGAGGACTTAAGTTCCTAAAGCATACTTGCCACAATAGCACAACCACACGGAAGTACTCCATCACCTCCTGATACATGCAGACCTTGCGAGGACTGCTAACACCAGGCTTGCACAACTGCTTGACTACCTTTGTACAACCTATAAAACTAAGCTGCTGCAAACTGCTGCTGTAGTTCAACAGTAAGGTGGGATACCATGTGCCTGCCAGAGAGTTCTGAAGTCGAACCCTAAAAGGACATGAGTAAAGAAAGAAGAGAAAGGGGCCTGGTGTATACCTGCGCAGACAGCACACGGCCAGGAGCCTATTCAGAGAGGAAAGGGCAGAAACCGGTTAAAAATGGCAGGAAACTGGTAAAGAACAGGACAAAAAGGGTTTGGAAATGGCCAAAATGGCTTAAAAAGAGTTAGAACTGGGCAGAAAAGGGTTAGAAATAGCCCAAACCTGTTCAGAAATAGCCACGAAAAGCTTAAAAGAGGCAAGAAATGGCCATAAGTAGTCCAAAAAATAGCCAAAAATGGCATAAAACTGCAGCCCCTGCTGCAGACCTCACACATTTCATGGAGAATTACAGTCTCCAAATCTTTCAGCACCTTAAAGCCACAGTGAACAGTCTCATTTCCAAAGTAAGGGCAAGTTTAGACCAGAGAAAATAAACAGGGAATTCCTTGGCTGGTTTTTAAACGGGTATTTCCGTCTTCACTCCCTTCCCTACCCATGCAGGTGCAGTGTGAATCAAGGACGTCCAGGTAACCCCCGCCCCCCCCATGTTTCTTTACTCCCCCCCCCAGAACCGAGCACCGGGCGCTGTGAAGCTTCCCTCGCCGGGCGCCCAGAGGGCAGGAGACCCCGCTCTGCGCCCGCCCAAGGCCTCCCCCGCTCGTCCCGGACCCCCGCTGGCTCAGATCTCACCTGCTGCCGCCGCTGGCGGGACCCGGACCAGGACCCTGCCCGCCGCCACGCTGCTCCCGGGCGCTGCGCGTGCGCCACCGAAACGGCGCCGGAGGGACCGGAGCCGCCGCGCGAGCACCGGACTGCGGCCACGAGCAGCGCGCGGGCCCGCCCGCACCCCAACGAGCAGCGCGCCGGCCATTGCTCACCGGAAGCCAGCAGCCACCATGTGACACCAGCCACTTCCGGGGCTCATGCGGGGAGCCCGGGCTGCAGTACCGAACTGTGGACACAGGATGGCAGCAGCGAGAGCGCCGGGCGCCGCACCGCCCCCCCCCCGCAGCCCATCACAGTGCGATCGTTATGGGATCACTATGGGGTCCGTCTGAGTCTCTACCGACTGCTGTGCATCTCTGCCGCAGTTCCTTAATGCAAGGCTATTTTCATCATGTTGACAACTGCTTCATAAGGGGTATCTGAAAAAACAATTGCAAAATTAACGCCGTGTTGCTAAAAAACAACTAAATACCCACGCAACTTTGTATCTCTAAAGACTGTTGATGAGCCCAGAACTTGTAACCTTCATCCCAAGAAAATGCACAAGCTTTGTCTCTAATCATAGTACACATAGACTTGCACTATAGATGATCCACCTGGGCCAACTGCAGACTATGAGCAGAGCAACTCGAAGGCAAACACACACACACAGAGAACACTACAGACTCTGTGACACCAAAAAGAGAGAAAAATCTACCAGAGGTAGGCTACCTCGCAGATGGAACACTAAATCTGCCCAGATCACCTGCACAGCAGCAAGAACAATGCAACGGGGCTCCTCAGGAGGCCGAGAACAAAGACCAACATGACAAAGCGATTCCAAAAACAACCACAAAACCTGACATGATAGACATGCAAAAAGCCCAACTTGAAGACCTGCAAGCATGAAAATACACAGACTATGTCCTAACCAACAAACAGGGATACCAAGAGAACCGAGATACAAAAGCAGGCTGAGACACTCTGGCTCAGACACTAACTCTAGATATACTATCACACCCACTCCCAAGAAGACTCTCTGGCCCTGACTCATTCATTACAAGCATAATCCCAGAGCTCTACTGTCCATTCACACAGCTCATCAAGAATAGAGAGCTACGCTGTGATTATAAAAACCCACCACATAAATTCCAGAAATCAAGAACTATAGGTAAGAGAAAACCAAAGACAAACAGAAAACTCTCAACTAGTTTATTAACATAGAAAAGTATAGAGACAGTAAAGGATACTTCTTATGGTTGATTATCTTACCAACTCCAAGGACCCTGGGAAGACCATCAGCAAACCACTTCCGAGAATCATCATGGCAGTGCGAGGTGGCAGGCTCAACCTGAGCAGGTGTCCCCATGCGGGCAACGTTCACCTGCCTGGCATGAGCTTCTGCCTCCTCACACAGCATGAGGCTCAGGCTTTGGTACTCAAAAAAAAAGGCACCCTCATTGCGACGCAGGGGGCCAGCCCACGTTGCAAGAAGCGCCCAACCAAATCTAAGAAGGTCTCCAAGGCTCAGGACTTTTCCAGGCAGTTCAGAAGCAGAACTTCCTGGAGAGGAACCAAAGCTGGAATTTCTGGGGAGCAGCCAAAGCAGGACACTGCAAGAAGGAGCTAAAGACAAACAGTACTTTCCATTTTTGTGTGCTTCACCACGGACCATTACATATTGTTTCTGACACAACACCCCAGAGTTAAGCCCAACAAACGTCACCTTTTCATCCTGGCACATAACTCTGAGTCACTACCTTCACTACTGCTAACCATTTCCCTTCCAGGCATTTAAAATTTATGACTCAGAAGTGCAAGCTCTACTGTGTTTTATGCTTGTATAACTGTAAAGGAAATTTCCAGTTGGCACTTAGGTGACTGACACTTTCCTGTTAGTGTGGTGAGGCACTGGAATAGGTTGCCCAGGGAGGCTGTGAATGCTCCATCCCTGACAGTGTTCAAGACCAGGTTGGAAGAGTCCTTGGGTGATATGGTTTAGTGCGAGGTGTCCCTGCCCATAGCAGGGGGGTTAGAATTTGATGATCTTAAGGCTCTATCCAGCCTTACTATTCTATGATTCTGTGATTTTACAACAGTGCCAGAGCAATGTGCTGACGACCTAGTGCTAAATAAGCAATGAGGATTTCAAGACCTGAAGAGGTGCTGATACAGAACACAGACCTCTTGTACTATAGAACAGTCAAGCTAGAGCTGCCCTGCCCACAGTTATCTCATATGGTTAACTAACCTACTGCCTTTCCCTCGGTCCCATGCCACATTTCAAACCCCTTCCTGCTACCCTGACAATGTACCTCAGCCTTCTTTTCCCAAACAGGAGTCCCTCTGCTTAGCTTCCGTAACGCCATGGGTCTCGAGACAGCCTCAATGTTCCCAATTCCCACAACAAAGACCTGGGATCTTGCCGCACTTGCCAAGTTCCTCTTCATCGTCTGCAACAACAAACGAACAGCAACACACTGTGCTGGCCATCACTACCCCCACCCCAGGAAACAATGCCAGCCTGTTCCATAACAACCTTCTGCCTCCTCCAATGCTCCTCAACATGGTGCTCGCATGGTCCAAATTGATAGCAGAGTCTGATGCCGGGCTTCCTCCTGCCCTCTGGAACCTATGAGTACAAGAGTGACAAATTACCATGGGGCTTGCAAAAAAGAAACTAACCCACAACCTCTATTTTTACCTCCCTGCCTCACCTCACACACTCATCCGACTCCAGATGTAAAAGGCAGGACCTGCAATACCAAACACAAATACTGAACCCCTTTGCCATGATACTCTCAACTCTAAGCAGCCACCCACACACACAACCCATTTATCTTCTCACAGCCCTCCTTGATTTGCATCTTCAACCCTCCTGAGTTGGATTCAGCACCTGAAAAACAAGCAAGTAGAAACACATAGAGGGTTCAAAGCTGCAAGCAATCCTCCCCAAGTCCCATTTCCCTCTCCCATCACTTTACTGCTCATCCACTGACCTTTTCACATCTGTGATTCTCTTCTTAAAGCCTGAGAACTGTCTACAGAACACAACAAGGAATGTTTCTGATTTCATGAAAATTACAAGACACTCAATCAGTTGCTGATTCTGTTCACTAACTATAACTCACCTTGCTGAAGTCAGGTCAGGGTCAGAGGTCTCACTTAGCTCCATGTTCTGCACCTCCAAATTAAAAAAATACAGCAAGTCATAAGCCAGCCAAGAAAATAAGGCATAACTTGCTTCTGACACGACAAGTTTACCCACCTGGTACCTTCAACTCTGCTCAACCCTACTACATCAGCCTCTCACATGGGGCTAACCATCTCCCCATCTGCAAGAACAACCTGGCATTCGTTACCTCAATACCAAGCAAAAGCTTATTCTGCCTCTAAGTCTCAGCCCAAGCTCTCACTGACACTTAGGCTGACATGCATACACAGACTGACATTCAGACACTCTCAACACAGACACTCACACCCTCTGCCTCAGACACTATCTCTAGATATACTATCACACCCACTCCCAAGAAGACTCTCTGGCCCTGACTCATTCATTACAAGCTTATTCTAAGAGCTCTTCTGTCCATTCACACAGCTCATCAAGAGTACACAGCTACACTCATTATAAAACTGTACCACATACCTTGCACAGTTCAACAGTTCCAGGTGAGACAAAACCAGAGACAAGCAAACAACTCACTATTAATTTCTTAACACTGCAAACTATAGAGATAGGAAAGGATACTTCTCATGCTTCCTTATCTTACCAAGCCCAAGGACCCTGGGAAGACCATCAGCAAACCAGCTCCGAGAATCATCATGGCAGTGCGAGGTGGCAGGCTCAGCCTTAGCGGGCGTCCCCGTGCAGGCAACCTTCACCTGCCTGCCATGAGCTTCTGCCTCCCTCACACGGTATGAGGCTCAGGCTTTCACACTCACAAAAACGCACGCTCATTGCAACGCAGGGGGCCAGCCCACGTTGCAAGAAGTGCCCAACCAAATCTAAGAAGGTCTCCAAGGCTCAGGACTTTCCCAGGCACTTCAAAAGCAGAACTTTCTGGCTAGGAACCAAAGCTGGACACCGCATGAAGCAGCCAAAGCAAAACCCTCTGCGAGAGGCCCATGACAACAAACAGCACCTTTCCCACCCTTGTGTGTTTCAGCACAGATCATTACCTATTCTCCCTGACACAGCACCCCAGACTTAAGCCCCGCAAACGGCACCTTTTCATCCTGGCATTTGACTCTGAGGCACTACCTACACTAAAACTGATCATTCCCCTGCCACGCACCTCCAAGGGTGTTCTCAGACATTCTGGCTCAAATACTACATTGCAATGCTACCCCTCAACCCCCTTCTTGCTATTCTGACATTGTCCCCCACCCCCTCGCCTCCTAAAGCACTCCCTATACTTAGCGTGCATAGTGCCATGTGTCTCCAGGCAGCCGTACTGCTCAGAACTCCCACAGCAGATGCCAGCCATGTTGCGGCCATTGCCAAGTTGCTCTTCATTATCTGCCAGAGACAAAGAAACAAAGGGGAACAGGCTGTGTTGGTCATTATCTCCACCACACCAGCCATCGATGCCCGCCTCTTCTGTATCTCTACTTAGCCTTCTTAATATTATGTTCGCCTGGACCAAATCTATTGCAGAATAGGGTGCTGGGCTTCTGCTGCACTCCAGAACCTAGGATACAATAGAGAGAATTAACCATAGTGCTTGCAAAAAGTGAGTGACCCTCACAACCACTGTTGTTACCTCCCTACCTCACATCCAACACTCATCTGATTCCAGAGATAGAAGGTAGGACCTGCAGTGACAAACACAAGTAGTGAAGCCTTTGACGTGTTACTCTCTAAGTCACCACTCAGGCACCTTTTACCTTCTCACAGCCCTCCTCAGTTGGCAGCTTCACCTCTCTTGAGTTACTTGTGGCACCTAAAACCAAAATTGAAACAGGCAGACATTGAGAGAAAAATAGAAGCTGCAGCAGACCCTGGAAGAAGTTGTTTCTTGGGTATTCCAAGCATGGCTCACCTTAGCTGAGTCATCTGAATGTTATTTTTCAGCTGGAGAGAGGCTGACTTCGTGTCAGGGAGCCTTATCCAAGTAGTCTGAACCAGAAATTCTGTGTTAGAATCAATATGAGATTTATGTGGATGTATGAGCCAGCCAGTGTCAGATTGAGCCTAAGTGAGTGTGAGGTGAAGTCTGAGCCAGAGAGCGTCTGTGCAATTTAAATGGAGTATGAGTTTGAGCCAGGCTGGGTGAGAGAGGGCCTGCGTGGTCTCTGAATCTTGAATGTGAGTCTAAGCCACAGAAAAAAAAAGCCAAAAAATTAAAGCTGGGAAGCAGGCACTGAACCAGAGCTACATTAAGTAAGACTCAGCTGTGGATTGTCAGGGTTCTTTTATCCCAGCTGGGAGTTTGCCCCACCCCTGACCTACAGCACTGAAGGAAGGGTTATGGGTGACACCCTCACTCCATAACACAGTCAAGCTGTAGCTGCCCTACCCATGTAAGCTCATGCTGCAAAATAGCCCCTGCCTTTCCCTCAGCCCCATGCTATACTTCAAACACCTTCCTGCCATCCTGATCTTGTCCCCCACCCTCCAGTCCCAAGCAGCAGTCCTTCTACTTACCTTCTATACAGCCATGGATCTCAAGCTGATCCTGAGATCTTGCCACAGCTGCCAAGTTTCTCTTTATCACCTGCAAGAAACAAAAGAACCAACATGAGCACACTGTGCTGGCCATCGCCATCATCATCATCACCACCACCACCACCCCACCCACCAATGCTGGCCTGCTCTGTAACAGCCCTCTTTCTCTTTCAAAGCTCCTCAACCTTGGCTAAACCACCTGAATGTCTTTATTTAGTTAGAAAGTGAGAGCAAGTCTGAGCCAAGAACTCTGTGTTAGTCTCAGTGTGAGACTTGGGTGGATGAGTGAGGCAGTGAAAGCCAGATTGAACCTAAGTCTGAGCTAGAGCACCTGTGCAGCTTAAACGTATGAGTCTGAGCCACTCTGTGTGGAAATAAGCTCCTGTGAATCCGAGACCCAGAATCCGAGATTAAAAAAACCCTACACAGTCAGAAACTAAACATAATTCTCAGCCTGGCTTCATAAAATTGAAGCTATGCAGTCTGTGAGTTTTGAATGTAAACTTAAAGGACAAAAAAGAAACCAAAAATTTAAAAGCCAGAGATAAGGCAATGAGGCAATAAAGCAAAATCCAAGCAAAACCAACCCAGCTGTCCCTTGTCAGGCTGCTTTTACCCCAGGTAGTGATTGCCCTCACCCCTGAGCCAGGGCATTGAGGGAGGGGCTGTGGGTAGGGCCTGGGATATATAAGGCACAGCTTCCAAGCAGGGCATTTCATTTGGGTTTGGCTTTTAGCAAGGTGAGGCGTGTGGGGTGTTTTGAGGTTTTTATGCTTTGTCTTTTATTTTTTGGTTTGTTTTTTTGAGTTCTTTGAAATGCTTTTTCTGAACTAAAATTTTTAAGTTTTGTTAATACTTATGTGGGCCTGTGCCAATCAACTTTTTTTGTGCTGTGGTTTTTTTTAGGGTGCTGTGGTGTTTGGTGCTTTTGAGCTTAGCAAACTTTTTTGGATGTTCTCAGGCATAGAAAATATGGCCAAAGTTGTTTTTGTTTTCCTTACTTTATTTACTTTTTTTTTTTTTTTGCATATAATGGTTATGGTAGTGGCTACTAAACCAGTTATATGAAGGTGCTTTTGGGTGTATGTACTTATAAAAAGTAAGTTGAATGCCTAGATTTAAAGAAAACTGAAACAGTATATTTATGTTGTTTAGGGATGTACAGGCTGTTAAAAAACTGGTGCTTTTTGGTGGAGAGTAGTAAAAAGAATTTTTTTAGCTTATAAATTTCTCCTTTTATAAGTCTAAAGTATAGAGAGCACAGGTCCTTTACAGTCTGCATGGAATTAATATTTCAGAGTTCTTTATTTGTCTGTGAAGTATTATATGGCTGATTTTTATTATTTTTTCTTACTGCAGATAATAAAAACTAAATGGCTGGATGCAGTAATTATTTTTGTGTCTAATAGTGGAGTTCTGAGCATTAAGTTTTGCTTTAGACTTATGGGACTATAAAAACTAAGAAGGAAGAACATTTTCTGACAGAAAAGGGCTGAGGAGAACCATCAGTACAGCAGGAAGAGCTTTGAAATGTACCATGGGGATGAGAAAAATAAAATGGGATGTTTTATAGCACCATCTTCGAGTGTGTATGGTAGTGCAGCATGACTGTTTCAATGAGTATATTTGCTTGTGATTTGCATTGGCACTTCCACATCACTTAAATGAAGGGGTCAGAGAGATGTGGCTTGTGTGTTTGCTTTTTGTTCATATTAAATTAACTCATTCTAGAAGAAAGGGCTTGAAATTGGCCGTTGAGAACCTAAGCTGATGAATTAGCTTAACACAATTTTTAACTTCTTTAAATTGTTTCTTTTCTTTCTGAACTCCAACTCTAGTTCTGGCTGTATAGAACTGATGTGGTTCCGCAGGAATGGCAGGAGGGAATGGTGAAGTAACATAGTTTGTTTTGAGCTAACATGGTGGCTGTATTGCTGGTCCAGCTAGTTAGAAGCTTTTTATTTAGTTTCTTTCCCTGAGTAGTGGAGGAAATGAGTTCATTTCTAACATGCACATTAATTTCTTGCCCAATTAAAGAACTTGTAAACAGTGGTTTTGTACAGGAAAGGTCTTAAATCAGTTTCTGCTTCACTGGCATTGGTAATTGTGCCAAGGGACCAGTACATAGAAACAACTCTGTGATCGAAAGTGTTCTTGAGCTTAATCTTGCACAATTCAGAATGCTGACTATAAAAAATTAATTGAGGGGATCAATTTGAGGGCTGAACTACTCATGCTTGGCTGATATCTAACCAGCTAACAGTGTCAGTACAAAATGCTACAGTGTACTTTTCACCCTGCTCAGAACGGATTTAAATTGGAACTTAATCTGTGGAAACTGTTTATCATGAAGAAAAAGGAGGCTTTCTCAAAGAGCTTTGAAATATCAATGTATTGGAGATACTTAGTTCTACTAGGTGCTGTTTTAAATATAGCCTGTAGCTCATAAGAATGGTGCTGCAGCTCAGTGGGGTCATGTGAAGTGTTGTGGCTTTGTGGTCCTCTCCATTAAAACTTCCATCGAAATACAGGTTGACATCTACAAAACTGGTTGTGTCTTGCAGGAGACTCCCTCTATCTATAGGGCCAAACATCAGCCTGCAGATCATTGGATGTCACTCATATCCTTTTGCTTTCAGTGAAACAACACGTTTACTTCAAAGCCTCTCTTCTCCCACCTGCACTGTTGTGCACAAAGGGATTTGGGAAGTTTGGGATTGTGCAGCAAGGGCAGAACGTATGTCCTTTTAGTCATAAAACCTAATAGATTTTAGAATATGGAGATGGAAACATACCAGAGTGGCTTCTCATGAACTGAACTGTAACATAGCCATAGTTGGTTTCTCATGCTTTTTCTTTTTGCTTGTATGTAAAGAACCCAGAGCTAAAGGACCAGATCTCAAAAATGATAAAAATTTTAAGTGGGGAAATGGCCATTGAGTTCCTTCTTTTGTTTTTAATACGCAACAACAATACAGGCCTTGTGATTCTCAAAAACACTAAGATAAGAGCTTTTTTGGGTATAGTTGTCTTGGATTCATCTGTTTCATCCTGTGTTTGTTTTGACCATGTTGCTACTTTTACATCATCTTATGTTTTAGCAGGACCTCCCTGGGTACATGTAAAACTTGAACATGTGTGGCTGAAGAAGAGCTGACTGCACCCAAAGAAGGACATAAAATCATTGTTTGAACTGACAGCATGATCTTGTGTCAAGCTGCTGTTATCATGTTTTCTTTTGTTTTTCTTTTTTCTTTTTTTTTTTTTTTTCTTCCTATTGGTATAGAAACTAATCCTTTTCTTCACAGTCATCCCTTTTTTGTTTTTTTGGTGGGTTTGTTTTCATCCGGTCAGTAAGATAGATGAACTCACCCTGTATGTCCACAACTGATCCGTTGCAAATGTTGCTGGTTGGGGAGTGGAGTCAGCCAGGACTCTAGGTTACAGTACCTTGGTATGTTTGTTGAGGTGTTCATGAGACTATACTTTCAGCTTGGCTGAAGAAATCCTTATACATGCTGAGAGACTAATACTGACTTATTGAAGACAAAACTGATCAACTACTGTAGGCAGTGCTAAGTGAACTGAGTAAGTTGTTTTGTTTTGTAAAGTGTTACTCAAGGGTGGGTAAATGAAAACTTACAGGTAAATTAGACTCTTTTAAGCTAAATGATTATTAAAAACCATAGGACAAGTTTTTTATATGTGAAAAGAGATGCGCATTGTCAGCAAAAATGTTAGGGGGTGGGGTGCTTGTCAACAGGCTCATCTATTGCAGGAGGCATTTCAAATGTATTGGAAAATATTTTTGCATTTACTGGTTAAGTCTTAGGAATGATCCTGCTTGGGAGTGATCCTGCATGGTGTTCCAGGGGTGGCTTGAAAATGTCAGCAGCACACACACTGCAGTGCTCAGTTGTGGGAACCAGAAGGAGGGGTTCCAGTTAAGCTGCAGTTGAAGTAATGGCATCTCTAACAGAAACTCATCAGAAGGATTGGTTTGCACTGGAAAGATGGGTTGAGGATATGTTAATATGTATTAACTATCTAGTAGTTTGATTAAAGGTAAATTGGCAGTTAAATTAAACACAATTATAATCCATTTTTGTGGTGCACTGGCAAGCATGCAAAGTGGCCTAGGGCATGCCTTTTGCTGACTGGTGATACTGATTGGTTTTGTTCTTTCAGGATGCAGTTCAGAATTCTGTGTTTCATACAGCAACAGTTATAGCAAACTCCTTTATGCATTGTGGTACAACCAGGGACCGGCTCCCTAGGTAAATTTAGGCAAGGAAGCTCTAATGTCATTTAGAGGTCTTCGAAGAGCATTGTTGCTCTGCTTGATACCGTTAAAAGGGTGTCAGTGAAACACTAGGCTTACACAGGAGTACACAAAGGATCTGAAAATGAATGTGCAGGCAGAGGGAAGAAGCTGGAGTTGTTTGGCTTTCTCTCTCTTGACAAACTGACTTGATTTGACTGCTAACCGTGTGAGCAGTTTGGAGGGCAGAGATCAGGAATGTTTGTTCTGTTTGCTAGCTGGAGTATTTTGGAGATGACGTATTTTTGTTTTTGGTAGAGACTGACAATGCTGAATGACTCTTGGAAGGCAGATGCCAGGGTTAACCTTACCAGGCATTTGAGGAAAGCTTCAGAAACTCTGCTAGAGTTTCTGCCAGAGAATTGATGGGCTGCATTTTGGGCAGTTGTTCTCATCTTTCACTGAGATGACCAGTATCATGGAGGTTGATTATGACCACCCAAAAATCAGGGCTGGTGAACAGAAGAGAGGTGTGAAGTGGAAATGTGGTTATTTTCTTGCCTTCTGGAGCTGCTTTTCTGATCTGAAAGATGTTTTCAGTGCTGTGAAACCTTTCTTTCAGGACAAGGAACAGGCTGTATGAAAAACTTTATGGAACTTTTCTCTTTTCATCTTCCAGAGATGATTTGGAGCGGCTGGCCAGGGCCACTAACTGGGCTAAGTTTACTGCTATTGCCAGCTTGGGTGTTATACACAGGGTAATGTGTTCATTGCTCTCTGTAGAGTATAAATGCTTGACTTGTGAGTGCTGAAAACATTGAAAGAGGGTTTCGGAAAGATGCCTGCACTCCAGTTTACTGAGTCTATTGCTAGATGCGGCTGTAACAAAGCTGGTGTCTGCACTAAAGGAAAAGCTGTGCTTTATCAAGTCTATCTTCTCTGATACCCGGTGTAGTTTATGGCATGTTTTATTGAGCGTCAAAAAGGTGGTAGTCTAACACAGCTCAAGGAGTCTTCCTAGATCTTCTCTTCCTTTGTGACTTGAACAGAGTCAATAGTTTCTAGCTATTAAAACTGCAGGTGTATATTTCTTATGTGGTATTAGGACAGTACTGTCCTTACTGTAGTAAGCCTCAATAAGTTTGAATCGTGACCTGAGTAGTCATTTTCTTCAATTTCATGCACAGAGATGGCATATTTAGAGCTGTTTTGAAATAGCAAGAAGTCTCCGGGTTGCATGTCTCAGCCCTCATTAAGGGGGTCTACTGAATGAACTAGTGTAGCTTCAGGCCAAATTTGTCATGGATCAGTGACCAAGTGATTGGTGAATACTTGTGTATTGTGGTTAATAAAACCCTAGTACAGAAGGATTATTTCCTGATTGCACAGCACTGAAAGGCTGTTTTTTTGTGGAGAAAGTAAAGGCTATAACTTGCTTTTTCCTGATATGTTTAAATATCATTGTGAAATATGTGCATATGCTGCTTTTTCACCTTTCACTTCCCACTATCTCCTCTTCCTGCTGGATGCTGGAGATAGAGGGTCATGCGGAAGAAGCATCGCAGCTAATGGCAACTTACCTGCCCAAGGACACCTCGCCAGGGTCAGCATACCAGGAAGGTGGGGGCCTGTATGCCTTGGGTCTCATTCATGATAGCCATGGTGGGGACATTATTTGTTACTTGCTGAACCAGCTGAAGAAAGCCAGTAATTATGTATGTACTGGGTTCAGTGATGAACCTTTGTTTTGTTGGGAGTATCCAGCTTGTTTAGGGTTAGAGGTGGCTAAGACTATGGCAGTAGTATGGTACTTAAAACTTCTTTTGGGCCTTAAATATAAAGCTTGGTTTTAACAACCTATTGTTCAACGTTTAGGTAAGATTTTTAGGAAATTCTTTCAATTTAGGAAACAGTTGACAGTCAATCTAGCTTCATCTTTCTTACTCCTTGTGTATCCACTTAGTTTTGCTAGTAGACCTGCATTATTCAGGGACTGTTAATTCTTACGGCTTAGCTGTCAAAAGAATAAGCCACAAAACGCTTCTGCTGCCCTATACGTTTAATGCAACTTATTAAAAAAATTATTTTACTTCACCACTCACTGTTTGTAAACCTCTACAAAAAGTCTCATTTTCAGGTTAGGAACAAATGAGTGTTTTCCCAGCATGTTCCCTTCTTCTCTTTGGGGAATTTCACACTGCTTTAAAAATTCTGTGAAAGGATTCCACTCATCTTATTGCAAATGTATTGTTTTTCCTGTATCCATTGTTAGGAAAAAGAGGATGTAGACAGTTCAAGTGGGTTACTGGTTTACCTTTCTACTTAAAAAGTGTTATTGGGCAGCAGTTTTTACACAAGGCAGAGTTTTATGGTTTTACATAAATCACTCAGTGGGGAAGACTTTGAAGATACTAGAAAGTGTCTTGTGCTATGTTTGAAGCTTCTAGTACTCATTGTTTATGGGCTTTTGAACCACTATTTCTATGGTTTTCTGCCTTTTTCATCAGAATTACTGCCTGAGATGGTGTAAGTGGTATTTCTAACAGATTATTTCGAATTTTGGGTGGTTTGAGACTGGAAGTTTGCAGCCTTATGTTGATGGAAAAATGTCTACTTCATCTGAAGCCGTATTTTTTCCTGGTTTTATGATAACTAAACTTGCATATGCTTCTCTAGATTGTCTGACATGGTGGCAGCCTGGGTTTTGGTCTGGCTGCCATGGGGACAGCAGGTCCAGATGTGTACGATTTGCTGAAAACAAATCAATACCATGATGATGCAGTGACAGGTCAATATTCTGCTTTCAAAGCAAATAACCATCTGAGGCCTTATCAGGCATCTGGGTTTTTTTGGTGCAGGTTTGTTTGGTTTTTTTCAGGTTTCCTATTAGCAGCATAGGTTGCCTTAGCTGTGTTTTATTTACTTGCCTTTTCCTGATCAGCATGGTTCTTCAGTTATATGGCGCTAATATTCAGGGGTCCTGTCAGGACTGGTCTGTGGCATTATACCAAATATTGGTGAGACATGCTATGTCTAAACAGTCTCCTCTTTTATCTGTTGGCCTACTTCTTGTGTGATTTTCTAGATAGAGTATTTACAGCTTTTGGGAACAGAGTTTGCTTGATTGTTTTTTTTTCTTTTCTGTGCTGCGCAGTTGAGACAGCTGGCTTTGCACTGGAACTGGATATGTTGTGATCTAAAAATGCTCAAGCTATTGAGGACATGGTTGGCTATGCACAGGAAACCCAGCATGAGAAGATTTTGCGAGGCCTTGCAGTTGGAATTGCTCTGGTCACGTATGGGAGAATGGAGGAGGCAGATGCTCTCATTGAGAGTCTGTGCAGAGATAAGGTAAGTTTAGTTCTGAATTAATCCCTGGCCCTACTGTTACACATATGACCTTCAACAGTACAAGAACAAAAGTGCTTAGTTGTGTATTTTTTAGTCTCATACTTACTCTCTATAGTTCCGTGAGCAGTAACAAGGAGCAGAGCAGATTGTAATGATTAAAAATGGATGGTGGTTCGTTCTTGAGGGTTTAGTAGTGGTTCAATAGCAGATATTGAATAAGAAGCAAAATAACACATCTACCAGATACTGTCTTTGGCAGCCTGTGGTGTGGCAATTCCTGTCCCCCTGAAATCGGTAATGACAGCCCTGCTTTGGTGGCTGTCTTGTAACGCATCCCTAGTAAACTGTTAAGCAACCAGGTTACTTTTTTTGCAGATTCCCGGCCCGAAGTGGAGCAGGTTTAAAATCAGAATTAGTAAGTCGCTCTTTGGGTGGATATTAAATATTGCTGTTTTCTCTTCCAGGATCCAGTTCTCTCTCTTTCTGGCGTGTACACTGTTGTGGTGGCATGCTGTGGCTCAGGGAACAACAAGGCTATCAGGGGCTTAATGCATGTGGCTGTAAGTACTGTGGGCTTAGAAGCACACAGCAAGAAGTATGTGGTGTGCGAGTAAACGCATCACTGACAGGTTTTGTGTCTGTGGTGTTACTGTTCTATTCTAAATCAGAGGTTGTGAAATAAAGGAAGCTTTCCTTAACACTACGAGTAGAAATAATAGGGTCTGTTAACATTAGGATAATTTGACTTAGAGCAGGAAAATATTCAGCCTGATACCACAAAAAAGGAACCTGCTTAAAAAGAAACACAATCCAAAATTAGTTGGTAACGGCTTTGTAGTAAATAGTCTGCATAACAATGGCTGGGAAAAAGCAACTTAAGCTGTAAAAAAAGAGGTCTGTCTGCTCCTTGACTGGCTTGCAGTTACTGTGTATGAGCAAGGATGAGGCCATTTCAGCTAAGGCTGAACATGATTTTTAGCTTTCCCCATTGTTGTATGAACTTGTGAATTATTCTATCTTCCTGATTAACTTGGCTTGAAATGTTTAACCTGGCTCAAAATGTTGCGAAGTCCTCAAGTGTTGTAACTACATTCTGAATGTCCTGTTTTCCCTTTTGTAGCTGAGTGATGTGAATGATCATGTGAGGTGGGCAGCTGCTGAGTTGCTTGGTTTCGTTCTGTTCAGGTACAGTATCTTACTTGTTCACTTCTACAGCCTTCAGTTTGATGTCCGTTGCATCTTCAGGAGTTGTGTGTGTTATTGCTTTCACAATAATATGTAATTGCTAACTGAGTGTATGTTGAAAAGTAAAAAAAATTGGGAGAGAATAAGATTTAATGCAGGATTAGAAGCCTTCCTTAATGTTCAGCAGATGCTTAATGAGCCATTCTTCAGTTTCTGGACTTAGGAATTAATTGTCTGAGTAGAGTTAGATGAAGTTGACAAATAGAATGAAAAATCAATATTTGCAGGATTGAGACTTAATGAAAAATTAAATTTAAGGTGTTTATGCCAGGCCTCTTACAGGCAGCAGTACTCAGGCAAATATGTCTGCCTGATTGCTATCTACAGTGTTCTTGAAGGTCATGACTTTAGCAAAATAATCTGAAGAAGAATGTTGAAACAATCTTTGTTTTTAAGTATCTAGTGCTGAACCCTGACATGTTACTGGTGTTATGTTGTGGTAATGTAGAGCTCATCACAAAATAGTCATGATGTTTGCTTTGGTTCTCTGAAGTGAAATCAATTGCTGATCTGGTATCTTCTAGTGCTCTATGGATAGTTCCCTAGGTAAGAGGTGCTGGGCTTGGTTGGTGTGTGTGTGTGTTTGTTTGCTGGTTGTTGGGTTTCTGCTTGGTTCGTTGGTTGGTTTTTTTATTAGATTGGGGAATTAAAAGTCTCCCCTTCATCTATTAATACAGTAGTCTGTGTAATTTTAGCACTGAGTTAAGCTGCAGCCTTTGGGTGTGTCTGAGAGGAGGTAGTGCATACATGGGTCCAGCCCTTGGAATGTAAAAATCTTTGTTCACATCATCCTTGGATAGTGGCAGTCTGTAAAGTCATCCTTAAAAGCTGGGTAAGAGGTGCTTAAAGGTGGTATTAAAAACATGGATTACTGATATGATGAGTCAAGTTTGTCATTAATGAACGAGTTTCCTATGTGAGCAGCAGGTGGCTCTTAAGAGCTTCAGCTCTGTTGCATTTTTTCTTGCTGCATAGCAATAGTCTCCTGAATTTAAAAAGGTCTGATCAACTGTCTTCTGCATCTGTGTACAGAAAGAAAATTCCATGCAGGTCTTCCATATTTTCAGGTATCTTTTTTCCAAACAGTTTGTGGCAAATCACTTTTGACCTCTGATTTCAACGTTATTTTTCTTCTCAATAAATGCAAAATGTAATTGTTATCATTAGCTTGCTCCAAAATGAGAATTTTTCAGGGCTCTGAGCTAAACCATTTACCATGTGTTTGCATCTTGTTGGGGCAAGGTGCTTCTGGGCCTGTTCTCTCCATATCCAGCAACAAGGAAATGAGTAACATTACCTCTGACTCTTTCACCTGCTCTGCAGTGGTTCATATCTTATCCTGCCTCTTCTTTTGAAGGGGTACAGTCCAAAACCTGCTTGCACAGCAAGGAGGAATTTATAAATTCCAGTGTCCACCTGACTTGGTAGCAAAGGACTAAAACTTTTTACCTCGATATCATTGGCTTCTGGAGACTGAAGCCTTGTGTCAAGTTGTTGTAACTGCTAAGGTTTTTCACTTGATAACTGTCATAAAGTACATGATCAGTTGTTTTGCTTTAAGACACAGTTCTGGGGGGAGCCCTTGGTTTGTCTAGCTCAGACTCCTGCATTCACGTGCAGCTGTGGAAGGGATTTTCTGCTATGTGGGCCCCATAGGTTACACCCCACTTAATTCTCTCTAATTATGAACTAAAAGCTGTGTTGTGTTTCATTTTCTGGAAATAAAGAACGTACATCACTGTAGTGATCTAAAAGGAGGATTACATTTACATTTCCTGTTTGCTGAAACTGCTAGTTAGAACTAATTGTGTTCTATAGCCCATAAAGAACAAGTGGGCTGTGCGTTCGTCAGATTTCTTGCTTAAAATGACACCTCTTAGGACTGTTGCTTGTTGAAGTCTATCTAGATTTACTTGTGTTAAAGCCCCTAATACAGCATTGAATGCTGGCAAGAGTCAGTTACATGTCAGCTGCTACTTGTACAGAGCTTTTGACTGAAGTGTTTTGTGGTGGGAGCTGAGCAGGTCTCTAACACTGTGGGCTGAGCCCCAGAAATTATTCTTGTCTTAGGTGGAAGAATGTGACTGAAGCTCCTGTGAGAAGAGATGTCGTTGAATTCTCTGTCTGTGGTTGCAGAAAGAGAACTGTTAAGTCAGGATTCAAATAAGAGAATAAGTTCGTTGATGCAAAAGAAGCCTTTTTGGTTTTTAAGGTATAGATGAAATGGAAAAGACAATAAATTTGAAGTGCTTTACTTTTTAAAATGGGAAAGAATTATTTTTACCTTAATTTTTACCAATTCAGATCAGGAATTTATCTTTGTTTACATTGCCAAGTGAGACGTAATCGGTTTATATAGTCAGCTTTTTTAATATTGCTATATGTTAGAGCAATGCTGCAGTGTATCTAAACACTGTAGTTTATGTACAAAATGAGGAGGTAGATGTTTTATAGATGTAACAAATATGGTTGGGGAGAAGGCTTCAATGTGGGAGGCAGCAATGCTTGAAACTCTGAACAGAAAGGGTTTAATATTCTCATAGCACTGTTAAGAGCCACGGTGAGGAAGGACTTAAGTTGAGAGATGCTGCTTCTGCCTTGGTGCAGTATTGTTGGGAAAAGGCTAAGGGCAGGAGAGGGAACAATGCAGCCTCCAGAGAGTCTCAAAAGAAAGATGTAGTCTCAGCTGTTAAGTGTAGGCTACCCAAAGCCAGTGAACTCGGCATGGCTTACGTTCAGCTCTTCACTTTAGGATGAGGCAAGAGTGATAGTAATGCTTCCTGCTTTTTTATTCTTTCTGTTTACAGAGTCTTTGGTTTTTTAACACTATGTATTTGCTTTGAGTCAAACATAGGTCAGATACTTACATTTTGTTCCAGGAATACTTGGACAATTTGTTTTAACCCCTACAACCTAACTTTATCCAGTAGTCAGATGGCAAATCATCTGGGTAATTGAGTAGTAGGCTGTCACTCTAATATGATCTGCACCAGTCACTTTTTCAGTTCATTAACTGTGAAGAAAAGGAATTTAATGAAACATACCTGCTTGTTGATTTTTGCATGGGGATAGGTGAAAGGGTTTTTTTTTTTACCTCCAACCCATTTTTGTCGTCTTCTGTCCTCCTGGGGGAGGAGGATGAGGGTCCCTTTCAGTGAAAGGTTAATAGTAACAGACATCTTCCTAAACCAGAAGAAGTTTCAGACTTTTACATAAGTATTTTTAGATTTGAAAGTGCTTTTATCTGTAGGTTTGAAACTGGAAACAGCTTGTATCTTCACTGACCAAACTGTTGTGCACCGGAGAATTCTCTTGGCATCTCTGGCAAAACTAATCTAAATTCTAATGAAAATTGTAGCTGTACTATCAGATTGAAACAATGAATGCATTTGTGCAATTGGTACACTATGACATCTTGCATTAATTCTTCCTTGCCATTTTTCTATCGTTGTTCTAGATGAGTTTGTATTCATGAGATTCTACTTCAGGAAATAGAGCTCAGAGCCTTATGTTGCTTGGGCGTTTTAAAATCTCTGCAAGTGTTTTAACTTCCTACTGTAAAGTAGAATGTGTACACTGATAAGCAACATGATTGGGTTTCAATCTGAGATAGGTGCAAGCTGGGCTGGAGAAACCTGCTGAAATCTCCAGAGTATTCCTTCGATTAGTTGCTTTGTCCTTACATTGTAAAAACGATAGGCTTATAAGCACTACCTGTAGTGCCTATAATAAGCCTGTAAGCTTATATACAAAGATTTTCATATCACTAAATCACAGCATGCGTGAGAAGAGTGAAAAAAACCAATCTAATATTCCTCCCCACCTCTCATTCCAGAAAAATACTTTCAGATTCCCAGATTATACACTCTAAAGCTTTTTAGCTGAGTAAGTAAACATTTTAAGCAGTGCAATTTATAACTGACTTGGTTGTCTGACCAAAGCCTTGAATTTGCTTATAACTACTGTTCAGCAGCTGTAGTTTCAAGTTAAGTCATAAATTCTGAGTTTCTTTGAGCCATTAAAGGAAGTTGATGATTTATCTGTTGCTTTTAATGGCGAAGACTTCTGTTGGGTTTTATGAAGAGATATTGCTGTGCATCTTGCAGAATATAAGACTTCTTTGTTGTGCAGTGGTTAATGAATTTGAAAATGAGTTGTACATAGGCATTTTTATCTATGCCATGCAAGAAATCTAATGTTCATGGTAGTATTAAGTCAGTGCTGAAAACTGTCCAGAACTCTGGGACTCCCTCCTCCAGCTTCCAATGCTAAGAGCCAGAGGAGCTCTGGTGAATGTCCTGTCTTTTTTAGCTCCAGAGTACCAGGTTGTTCAGTATGCTTTCACCAGGTTTACTGTGCTTTCATTACTTTACCTTTCAAGGCTGAAGTTATGTATGACAGCCTAGAAAAAAAATTAAGGGATTATCCTTTCGCTTTTTCATAGCAGCCTGAAGCGCTGTGGGTTTTTCTGCAGTAAGCAAACATTTTCTATGAAGCAGCATAAAAACATCATCATGCTTCTTGTATGCTAGTGAACAGCTTTATAGCATTAGTCTCTCTTCTCAGTGCCTTGTCCTCTGCTTAACACTGGAGTTTTTTAATGTATTTTGATGCATCTGAAATTGTTATGAGTATGGCCGGATGTGATGTGATTAGCAAAGTTTTACATTTGGAGAATGCAAGATAAGTGATTAATACGTTTCTCTGGCTGCCTGAAAATTTTCTTAGAATTATAGAATAGTTAGGGTTGGAAAGGACCTTAAGATCATCTAGTTACAACCCCCCTGTTATGGGCAGGAACATGTCACACTAAACCATACCACCCAAGGGGCTTGCAGCTTAATCCCCCAGATGATTTTAGACTTGGCTCCACAGAATGTTTTCTATCAGCACAGTTGAGATTAGCTGAATTTTTTGCTTCTCTGTTTTGCAGAGTGGTTTAAAGGTTGGGATTTTGTTTGGTTTTGCTTGTTTTTTAGGCGTGTTTTATTTTTGTTTGTTTGTGGTTTTTTTTTTCTTTATGATATTCCCTTAATTTGCATTTCAAGATGCTTATTCTGTTAGGCTTCTAACTCCATTGTTTTCCTCTCTTCAATGCTGCTTGGGTGGGTATATTTATAGGTAGTCCTTATGTCCATGTCTGTGCTGTAATTTTTAATTGGATAGGCAGCCAGAATATTAACTAAGTATCTCCTAATGTATTAATGAAACAACAAGAACAAAAAACCTAATTTTTGCACATTGCTCTTTTAAAATGTATTTCTTTCTGCAGTGCTTGTATGTTGCAGATCAGCTTTTACTCTTGTCTTGCTTCTGTAGTAGTTGAAACAGAGATGAAATATGCCAGATAAAAGCTTCTGTGTTAATGAGGGAAGTTAAACTAGGTAACTGTATAAGTTATTATTTTCATGTAGTACATTGAGGCCACATAGCTGGCCACGTGATTGGTTTGTCGTGGGCCAGGTTCTGAAAGAATTGATAGCATCTTACTTCAGAGAAAGGAATGCTTTATAAATTTGTGATGCTTAAAGATGATGCCCGTGGATGTAGCCCTGAGCTTCCCATCTTGCTTGTCAGCACCCCAAGAGCGGTGTTGTCCTTAGTTACTGTACAACAAAGTTGTGCTTTCTTACAGCAGCTTGCAGTGACTCTCTTATTTTCAATCATGTCTTGCTAATGAAGGTAATGTCTTTGCTCAAATCTGTTCTTGTAGATCAAGTTGCTGAAACAATATCTCTGCTGTCACAGTCTTTTTATTTCATAGTTCTGCATCTCCTCATCATTTTTCTTCTCCCTCTGTCCTTATGCTTTCCAGAACTGTTACCTGAATTCTTCACTTATTTGCTTTCTCAGTGAACAAGCAACTTCTTTTTACACTTGTCATGTTAAATGGAATGTGCATGTTTTTCTGTCCTTGGAGAAATTTCCTTTCTTTGTAGGAAGACTGGATTTTAGATGAGCCACTAGTCCTTTGGATTGAGGTTGATTATTGCTGACTGTATTCAATAACTGGAACATTTTTCTTTATATGGTTACTAAAACTGAGAAATCTACATGCCAGCTTGACAAAATATTTTTTTAGCTGAGGGAGACTTTTTCAAGTGTCATTTCCTGTTAGTGTAGTCTAACTACTGATTACTGAGAGTCTTTACTTTGGGGTGGGTTCATTTTATTCCTATTCCCTCACCCCTAGAGCTTCATGTAGTCTAGGTCTTAATAAGGCTTTTGATCTCAAATATTTTTAGATATAGGTATCTTTTACAAGTATAGTAGTCCATCAATTCTGGCTTTAACTACAGGATCCCCTTAAACACATTTTAACAAAAAGAGGAGTAAGAGCAGTTAGAGCTTTTTTCAACTTAAAGTGACTAGTGACTATCACCAAAAAGGGTAGGAAGAAGGCAACTTAAAGTAACACAGAAGTATTTTTAGTAATTTCTTCTGGGACTCCTCCCGTGGCCATTTTTACATTAGGCTCTGTTTCAGATGTGTGTATGTTCTAAATTAAATATATGGAAAAACATGTAGGAAGGACATATTATCTTTTGTACTTTCTGTTCTGAGGAGGAAAAAAAGTAAGCCTTTTTCTGGACGTAATTTTGGTTTGTAACTAGAGGGTTCTGAAAACACTAAAAACGAAAAAGAAGACCCAGCTAAAAATGTTAGTGTAAATGGGAGTTATTGGAAAAAAATAGTGAGCTGGCTGCTTATTGTGAGAACCCCAGTACTTTGGGGAAATCCGATTTCCCTTCCCAAAGGCAGGTGTTCTGGAACTGTCAGAAGCTCCTCATTTCACAGATGCTAGACTCTGGTAACTTTTATGGGTTGTGATGAGCAACTCTTTGTATGAATTTGATGCTCTGATGAAAGGCTTGAGCATGTTTGAAAGGGTGCAGGTTGGCATCTACAGTCTTATGCCATTATTCCAGTGAAATTATTCTGAGCTAAGCTAAACTGCAAATGTGTGCCGGTCCGGATAGTACTGCGTCTCTGCTGGCTCTGAAACACTTGCTCTTATTTTCAAGGGCAATAGCTATTCTATCTGTGATTTTTCTGCCTTGTGTGAACTATGGAAGATAAGGGAAGGCTTTCACTGAAGTTCCAATGATAGTAAAAAAGGAAGTTTGTCCATCTAAATTAAAGGGAAGTTCCAGGCACTGCCTGTCCTGGTTTACTCATTATCACTGATGTGGTATTGTCATATTTTGGTTAAATGCTGTTACTTTTTTAGTATGAAAAGAACATCTGACTAATCTAACAATACCAGACATATTTGTATGTGAGAGTAATGGAAATGAAATTCAGGTGGGTACAAGATTCTACGTACTCTTACAGTAAAACAACAAAGGGACAATTTCAGCACATGGAAATTTTGCTCATTCTGCCAAGAAACAGTTTCACCTGTTGTGGAATGGACACCTTTTGGTCTCGGTAGCAAGTGATTCTGCTTCTGGTACGCATATCCATAGAGAATAAAAAAACCTCATACTTGGATATACAATCTCAGCAAATGAAGGTGTCGTAGGAGGTAGTGCAGTGGGTATATGTGCAGTTCTGTTTACACAGAGTAAAGGTGGATTTAAATTAAAACAAGCATGCTTGTATCCCCTTGCTTATTTCATCATAAAGCATCAACCTACAGAATGTTCTGTCATCTTGCCAGAGTAAATGTTAGTGTTTGTACAGAGACGATTTTCTTATAAAAATGTACTTTGAAGGGCCTGGGTGTGGTGAGAACTGAAGTCAGATATTCAGATTGGTTTAGCTTTTATTTATTTCCTTTTGGCTACATTTCTGCATTAGTCATTTATCATGGAATGAAGCTGTGAGTGCCACCATGGGGTTGGGTTAAAATAGGGGAGGCTTTGGAGGAGAGGAATTAATACTGATTTGTAAGGTGTTGCTTGCATAAGTAACAGAAAACAACAGTATTTATATAGTCTTACAGTACATTTGTGTTACCTAGAACAATACATACAGTAACACTATGATATAGGCATAGCTGCCATTCCACTATACGTATCTGACTTGTTCTTCTGTTTTATCAATTTAATTCTCTGTGAGCAGCGATGTATCCAGCAGAACGGCTTATGATGCTTGGATGGGTGAGCTCCTCAGCCTCATTGGGCTCTGATATCTGATGGGGTTAATCCCATTTCTCATCCCATGCATGACAAAGAACTTGGAATTTTCTATTGCAGAGCTTCTCAAAGAGATCCTGCTGGAGCGTTTTTTAAGGGCCTTGATAGGCCTTGTGGTCCGATAGTTGCAAGTGATATACTTGCTGAAAGCGCCCCTAAATGTTTTGTTGATTATTGTATAGACGAGAGGGTTCACTCCTGAGGATACATATCCTATCCAGACAAGTATCTCCGTAAGCTTTTGAGAAATCTCTTGGTTGCAGGAGTTGCACAGAACTGAACTTATGTTTGTTATGGAGAATGGGCAGCACATCAACAAGAAAAGAAAAAGTACAATCCCCAGAACTTTTGATGCCCTTTGCTCACTGGTTATTTTTTTCATGGACTTTGTCCCTGTTGTTTATGTTCTGCAGATTGGCATGTCATTGGACAAAATCTTGTCTTTTCTCGAGCCGTTTAGCATGGCCACCTTTTCTGGCGAGGGCGCAGATGTTGTGTCACACTGAAATACTGTGGACACTGTTGAGCAAGTGAAATGGTGAGGTGGTTTGTTTATCAAGTAGACCTTCTTGTGTAGCACTTAGATTGTAAGAAAATAAGTGACTATCATGAAACGAGGGGAATGAAGAATGAAGCCACTGATCCGTACAGAATGTAGTCATGAAAACGATGGGGCATCGGGGCTCATGTGATGTTTGTAGAGTTGCCATTTCCATCTTCAGTGCCTCTGACAGGGACTGGAATAGCAATTCCTGCAGGACACGAACAAAGTACTTCAGCATATGGTAATCGCTTGCAGTCTTTTTTGGGCTTGAAGCCTCGGGGTCTCTAAAGAAAGTAGTTCCTGAGCTCTGGAGCTAACTCAGGGTGAAGGAGAACTGAGAGCATTATGTGTGTAGTTGGGCAAACAGTAAAGACATGGCAACATCAGCTATAAAAGAGTGCCTTTTCGAAGGAGATTGGGCCTAGCCTTTACTGATTGAGGAAGCAGTATAAAGTTGCCAACTTCTCAAGTGTAAAAAACGTGAGTAGTTTTGACTGTAGGTGTTAGTATGGCTTTTCCTCTAGTGAAATGTGTTTCCCTAATGCCAGCTGCTTCCACCCCCCTTACCCTGGGGTAACCTTTGCACTTTTTGAAGGGCAGTTTGGTAAATACATGTATCTAGTCTTTGCTTCTTATCTTAACCCCATCAAGTTACTGGACACAGCTGATTTTTTTTTTCTTATTTTTTTTTTCACCCTGCCTTGACTCTTTCATATATACAAGTAGTTTAATAGTTGCCAGAATTATGCAGGTTGTGTTTAAGATGGATTTGTTGTTTAAAGTCTCTTGCATATTTAAAAGTTTTTAGATGAGACCAGCTAGCATTGTGATTCACCACTCTATAAGAAAATATAAAAAACTTTATCAGTCCTGTCTTTTAAATGAATTCTTTATTATCACTAAATTGCAGTCAGCACTTCGTTTGCCAGCAGTTTGACATTGCAACAAAACCAGTAGTTTCCTTACTGCCTGGTCAAAGTTGTGTGATATTTCCTGATACTGCTTAAAGAGATGTTGTTGGCATTTACTGTATTCCTCTGCTACTCTGCTTAGTCAAGTTGGTTGAAGGCAGCAAGAGCAAAACCAACTCTTCAGCCATTTGATACCTTTATTAATAAGAGGCACACTTTCAGATAGAGCAAAGATTTAAAGTGAGGATTGAGGCAAGTTAACCTTAGATTTGGAGAACCCTGGCTCAGCTGCAGAATGCTCCCCTGTCAGATAAAAAGGAAATGACAAAAGTACAGCACTGATAACT